GTTCATCTGAATCACTTTTACTCTTAATACACTTTTTTAATAATACTGGGAAAACTTTTAGTGGCCACTATAGAGGCTCGCCAAGGACTACTTGGGAGGACACTAAGGTGGCCACTATTTTTCCATTTTAGTGGCCACTACAGTAGTTTTTCATCCAATATTCCTTCCAATGAATCTGATAATTTTAAAACAAACATATTAGACCAGTTATGCTGATCCATTGACCCCTAAAGTGGCCACTAAAATGTTTAGTAGTCCAGTAGTAACACTTAGACCCCTAGAGTGGCCACTAATTTTTAACCCCTTAAGTGGCCACTAATTTGACTACTATAATGGCCACTAAGAATTTTTCCTAGATCGTGATTATTGTTTCCAAGTTGAATCATAAAAAATAACTTGAATTTTTTTGGGTTTCGAATTTTTTTTTTCATATTTTGGTTTGATTTTCTACAAGTTCAGTTTTGAAGCTTGGGAGCTTTATTTTTTATAATCAAAGTCATTTTTGATTTCCAATAATAGTTCTCTGAGCGGCTGGTTCCGTTCTTTTTTTGTAGCCTCATTCTAAGTCTCATAGAAATAGATATACCAAAGACTCTACCCAGAACTTTTCATTTTCAACTCAAAACCCTAAAATCTAATATTTTTCCCGAGTTGTCCAAAAAATTGGCGTATCATGACTCCGAATATGAACATTTTTCTCCAAAATCGTAGAAATTGTTGACTCGAATTGTTCAGCTCTTAGCTTATCCGATATCGAAGTGCTGACGTCGGCCTTAAAAATAAATATCTTCTTATGGTTTTTGAGAAAGATATTTACATGAAAAATGTGATATTTGAGAAAAGGAAACACTTTTTGAGCTACAGAAATCTTCATTTGTCTGTCTAGGACTTTAATTTGTCGAAACCATATCTAGAAAAAGGTCCCGATTGCGTTAAAATGGAAATTTAAAGCTGATACCTGATCTTGAGCGACTTTCCTGTGTTACTAGATGCCCCCCGCGCAAGTAGTTTTTTGTCGGATGAAAAGTCGAAATTTTTGAAGATTTGAGCCGTTTCATGTACACCTTATAACATAGGCGAAGTTGGAAATGGAAAAAAAGGCTCTATAAAAATGTTTCTTTTTTTCTGCATTTTTGCGCCATTTTCTCGGCCCTTTCGCACCATTTTTGCAGCCTCTTCCTTTTTCCAACATTTCCTGAGCTTTTAAAATCCCAGAAAAATAGGAAGGCTCGATAAAGGGACACTTTGTGGTGTCTTTTTGGGCGCCTCTTTTTTCGAGCCTCTCCCTTTTTTCAATATTTTATAGAAAATGTAAAGTTTTCCTAACAATTGACGTCCTCTCATCACGAGATCTCTCTTATAAACATGATTTCCTGAGAAAATTCAAATCTACCATGCAAAACTCCAAGCTCATCCGATATGGAAGTGTTGACGTTGGCGATTCAAAACCAATATCTTCTTATCGTGGCGCCCACAGTCATTCCCATATCCGCTTATCTTCCCATGATTCCATTGTGGAAAGATTCTCGTGTCCAAATTTAATCCTCCAGTTTTTCGTTTGATTCAAATAAAGCAAGATTTGCAATCGGAATGTAGAAAAAAACAAAGAAAGCTCCGCATTTCGATTCATTGTCTGTGCTGTTGAAATTTCGCTGCTTTTTCAATTTTTGTTTCGATTTTTGGTTAGTAACATGAGCAAAAAGGTTTAGAAGTCCTTCAGGAACATTTTGGGAAAATTTTTCAGCCTTCAGATAATTTTCTTTTTAACCCTTTTTTCACCCCTATACCAGAAACTTTACTTATAACCTGAGCAATACATGTGTAATATGAGAAACGAGGAGCATCAGAAGCATCAAGGTTTCAAGTTAACTTAAAACCTTGACGCTTTGAGCCATTCCAAATGCGGCCACACCAAAGCCAATTTTTTGGAGCTTACTTAGATTTAAGTTTTTTTTGAAAAAGTTCAAAAAAACCCTAAATTTTTCCAATCTAAGGTTTAGTTCAAGAGAATATGCTCAATTTTTCCTGCCAATGTTTCAAAATTTTGATGAAAATTTATATACCACATCCATCCGTTTTTCCCCTCATTTCATCCAATTTTTATGATCTTTCGCCTACGCGCCCGCATTTCAACATTCTTCTTCCAATTTGATGAAATTTTCGAAAAGAAGAATTTTCCAAATGCTTTTTGCTTACGTAAATCGTATGAAAAGCATATGAAAAAGAAGAAGCTTTTTTGGGTTTTCTTCATTAGCCAGATTTCTCTCGTTTTTGCCGGTTTTTGAGGCACTCTCTCTCCTCTGCAAATTGTATTTATTGAATAATAACCTCTTTTCGTGTCCTTCTGACCTACCGTAGGACTAGAAGAGGCGTGGAAAGGGAGAACAAAAAAAGCAGTTCAAGCGGCTACGAAACAACTCATTCGTTACGTCGGCTACGTACACAACTGCCCAGAATTTTCTTTTCTTCTAATTATTTTTCCGAGTGTGAGGTATGATTTATTCTGATTTTTGAGATTTTTGAGGCAGAAAGGAAACTTGAGTGGGGTTTTTGCTGATCTCTAAAAAAGCAAAAAAAAGTTTCAGGTGCATCAATTAGGACTTCTTATAAGCTTGAGCTTCGAAAATAGTATGTAGTTTCAAACCTCCGAGTGGAATTTCTAATCAGAAGCAGGATAAATTCACAAATTATTGGTTGGATTCGTATACCACGACTTGGAATTCCACCAAACGACGTTCCGGTGTGCTGCGCGCCTTAGGCCGCGCTTTCAATTCATTTTTTTTCTTTTATTAAGGTACTCTACTTTCATGTGCTCCCACAGCAATAACAAATAATTGAAAGCGTGACCTAGATTTGAAAGACGCTTCGCGAACGAACGCAGCGGAACAGCGGAATGTCGTTCGGTGAAATTTCAACTCGTGGCACACAGCCTATACACAAGAAACGAACTTCGACGGCTTTTCGCTCCATTTTAAAACCCTATAAAACTGAATCACTCCAGCACATTCTCAAGATGTCCAGTGACTTCTGTATGTGTCTAGAGGCTCAGACTTTGAGAAGCTGTTGAGCGAGTATTTTTTGGCTCAGTCGAGTCACGCTCATAAGTTATGGATTATTTTTGATCAACGACTTTGTAGTTAGAAGTCGGCTAAACTGTTGTTTAGCAACTTTGGAGAGTCAAGTTTCGAGAAAGGAAAAGATAGAGTGGGTTACTTTAGGGAAGAAAAGGCGCTCCTCAAAAAATCCCTCAAGTGACCACTCTTTTGAGAGATTTTCCAAGTGGTCATCATCTTTTGAACAATTCATGTATTTTTCATTCATTTTCTACAAAAAAAATGACTGGAATGAAACCAATCCGATTTTTTTTTCTTCACCCATGAAAAAAGACCAAACTTGAGTAAATGGCATTGACTTTAAAGGCGCGCCCGACCTGAAACGGTTTGCGAGCAATGGCATAGGAAATCAAGAACTTGGAGCCCACCACCTCAAACACGGGCAAAGCCCAAAAGGCCTCAAAAAGCGCCTATTTTTCTAGACTTTTTCTGAAAAGGACCTTTTAAAAAGTTCTAAAAAAAAGGCGGAAAAAAAAATGGAAAAAAGGAGATTCCGAGAAACTTTTGACACCTTTTTAGGAACTCAAAAAAGAGCTTTAGGCTCTTCTTTTTAAGGCCTTTTTAAGCTCATTTGGACTTTGCATGTCAACTTCAGCCTGAACTTGTATCTCCTCCTCAAAAATGCCTTTCGAGCCCTCTCCTCCGCATTTTTCGGACCTGATCTCTGAGAACTGAACCTTTCTTGCAAGCCACGTGTTGGTATTGTCGAAAAAGAAGAATTTGAAAAACTTCCATTTACACGGGGAAATCCTCAAAAAGACCGCTATTTGATGACGCTTCGACAGATGATCCCGACAAAATGTGGGTTCAACTCAAAAAGTCCTTGTTTGGCCCCGGTCTGACGCCAATTCCTGCGGCAAGCTTCGAAATCCGCTTGAGTAACGGGGGGAAAATGGGGCGGCGCTGGCAGTCGGATTCGGAAACAAATCCCGAATTCGGTAGCATTGCACAAAGATATATAAATATTATTGCAGAGGCAAATGGAATATATTTTTTGCTCCCTGGGCCTTTTTTTTGCTTGGAGATTCAGTTCGTCTCGGGAGTTGGGTTTTTTCTTAATAGCTCTTCGGAGCCAGAAGGTTTCCGAGTTTTATATCCATCAATGTTTGAACCTTGGACTCATTCATCAGTGTTTGGAATGAAAGGACTTTCAAAAAACTAGGAAAATTGGCCACTATAGAGACTCGCCAAGGACTACTTGGAGAGGATACTAAAGTGGCCACTAATGCCACCTCTATATTGGCCACTATTTTCTGTTTTAGTGGCCACTTCAGTAGTTTTTCATCCAGTTTTCCTTCCAGTAACTCTGATAATTTTAAAACAAACACATTGGACCAGTTATGTTGATCCATTGTCCCCTAAAGTGGTCACTAAATATTTTAGTGGTCTTGTAGTAGCATTTTGACCTCTATAGAGGCCACTAAATTGACTACTATAGCGGCCACTAAAACGTCAAAACCCTAGAGTGGCCACTAAAATCTCTCCCAGAAGCTCAATAATTTTTGTACTTTTCACTTTTTCCTTGAGCTTCATGTAGACTATGCTTTTTTGAACTTGGATTAACAAAAATTACATTTTTTTGAAGTTTTCCTTAGCTTGTACCACTGCTTACCACTCATTTGTCAGAACCATCCAACTAAATTTTTTTTAAACTTTGAAGTTAACTTGAAAAAAATGTTTTATCAATGGGAAGTTAAATTGAGAATTAGCTAAGAACGGACTAAATCTGTACAAAGAGTTTCGTGACTGATTTTCAGAAGGCTCTGAAGTTTTGAACAGAAAATCTCCCATGTTAAAAAATTTTCTTTCATTAGTTTTGATTCGAGTTACAGAGGCTTCTCGGAGCTTTTCAAGTCGAGTACCGACCATTCTTTTAAATTTTACCTGATGCTTTCCAACCATATACCTGGTCAATGCCCACAGGTGTGGGTAGTAGATTGGTGCTTGATCTACTTCCAATCTCATTCCTCGGCCGATACTCGTGATTTTTTTCATTTCCTTTTGTCCAGTTTCAAATTGATATCCGGGGCTTTGTGTTGGGCATTTTTAAAGCCGATCCCATCCTTCTAAATCTTCATAATCTCTTCAATTTTTCCCATGTACTTATCCAATTTAATGAAAAAAATAATCTGTGGATGTTATTGAGAGAATTTTCAGCCTTCAAAATGAGCTCGCCGAAAAAGGACGCGGATTGTCAGAGATTCTTCGGCTACGGCAAGAAAATCCCGAAAAGTTGGTTACTGACAGTATTTCGAGTGGATTACGGTAGCTTTTAAGATGTAAAGCGACACTGTGGAATTTGCCGTCAACACGGGATTACGGTAGAGACACGAGGACACTCATGTCCCATGAAGGGCTGCAATTGCACTAAGGTAATAGAATACCAACGAGATTACGGTACTTAAAAAAGTACTGTAGGTCTTGAAGTTCAAAACTCTGCTCATCTTTTGAGTTTGGAACTGGAATAGATGTAGAAACGGTTTCTTTTTACTGTAACTGTAGCTTTTGAGGTGTTCCCTTCCTTTGAGGCACTGTAGGTTACTGTAGCTTCAAATTTTTGCTAAAAAATGCAAATTTTTGATTACGGTAGCTTAAAACTTTGATCAATAATTCTCAAATGAGCAATGGAACGACTTTTATGAGGTTACTGTAGAAGTAACAGCTGCTAGAAAGTTACGGTATCTTCTGAATACTGTAAGGGTTTTTTTCAAATCCTGTAGACTTAATATTGTAGGATTTAGAAAAAGAAGATTGAGAGAAAGTACTGCAGAAAAAGTTTGATTACAGTACGTACAGCTTTCTGAAAATACTATCATTTGAGGGGTTACTGTATCTTTAATTTTACAGTGTGACCTGATCCGTCGCCGCAGGTCGATCATGTCCACGCAGATTCGGCTTCGGCGGGAGCAGGACAAGAAATTTCAGGTAAGATTTGGGGTAACATGAGCAATACCTTGCAAGGTTTCTCGGTTGAAATTCTTTGAAACTAGGCGGAAAATGATATTTATAGCTTCACAAACATCGTTAGGGATTTGAAGCTTTTCGGAAGCCTTGAGTTATTTTTTTCTAATATAGAGAAACTTTGTTCAGAGGACGACAGACGCCAACGAAGCCGACGTCGTCCCGCTTCTGAGCACGTCTTCTGAAACGACCACGGTCAAACAAGACGACGCCAACGCCAACATGTGCTATTTCTGCCAGAAATGCAAGAATCACGGCGTTTTGTCGTGGAAAAAGGTCCTTGCTTGATCCTTTCAATTTCAATTTCAATTTGTTTATTTTTCGCAACATCGGGGTGGTATGGTGATGTTTTCGACATTTTCTTTCAGTCTTTCAGCTCTAGGGATAATTTTAATCTTACAAGTAAAAAAATAAGACCCTAGCTCCTTTTCAGAAGTATAAAATTTATCAGGATAGGCTAACTTGTTTTTTTTCGGCAGCAGGGATTGAACTTGTGACCCTTCTAACCATAACCGAAGTGACAACCCGCTGGGCCACTGTCACTTATTAGTTTCATTGTTATTATTGCGTGGCAGTTGAAAAAGGCCTGATTTGCCCTTTTTCTTCGGCTCGCAGTTCAAAAGAGCTCTACAAAGTTTAGAGAACTGGGGAATTTTTTAGTGGTCACTATAGGGTTTTGACGTTCTAGTGGTCACTACAGTAGTCAAATTAGTGGCCACTTAAGGGGTTAACAATTAGTAGCCACTAAAGAGGTCTAAGTGCTACTACTGGACCACTAAAAATTTTAGTGGCCACTTTAGGGGTCAATGGATCATTATAACTGGTCCAATCTGTTTGTTTTAAAGTTATCAGAGTTACTGGAAGGAATACTGGATGAAAAACTACTGAAGTGGCCACTAAAACGGAAAATAGTGGCCACATTAGTGTTCTCTCCAAGTAGTCCTGCCTCCATAGTGGCCACTGAAAATTTTCCCAGAAGCTTCCTTTTTTTTGAAGTTTTTTTCCTTTTTCCTCCTAGTCGACTCCCTACGAGTATAAGCCAATCACTTCTTCTTAAAAGCGCCTGTAGTATAATAAATGGACTTTCGACCAGTCTCCATCAGATACAACGAGCTCCGATTTGAAGTATGAATCCCGGGCTGAAACGCTACAATTCCCGAGAGTTTGCGTAGATTAATCTTTTGAACTTCCGTGTCTACATAATCTTTTGAAGTTAATAAGATGAGATTTTCGTTGCAGGACCACAAGAAAGTGTGCGAGTACGCCAATTGTCACTGTGAACAGTGCGATTTGATCGACTCGCGACGCGCCTTGGACCGGCACATCAAACAGGAAAAAGCCGCCAAAAGAGGTGATTCACAACATCAAAAAAGAATCCCGACTTTTCAGAGCGATAAACACTGTTTGCACGGTTTTTTTGAACCCAATCAGTGGAAACAAATTCCGTTACCTTTCAACTAATTCTTAAAAAAATTCGTCTTCTAATATTTATAAAAAATGCTTTTTCAGCCTGATCAATATTCAATGACAAGTTTCTTCTCCTAAAAATTCAAAGTTCCATAGTTTATTTAGGCTTTAGAGTGTTCATTTCCCATTTGCATCCGACTAAAAACAACTTACGATAGCGCACATCAAAAACTGAAAAACTGAAACAAGGATCTTTCTTGGCTCTTCTGGCAAACAAAAAGTTCAGAGAAGCTCGGAAGCACGGCCAACTCCTCGGAGGAGTCGAACTCGAACTCGTCCTGCTCCCCAGACGCTCCCTCCTCGTCGAAGAGCAACGTCCCCGACTCGCCATTCCCCAGCCTCACCACCGCCTTTTCGCTGACCTCACTTGTCAGCTCGACCTCCCCTTCGGCCACCAGCTCTTTCCAGGTTAGAATTGAAAAAAGGACAACGTGATTCGAAGAACAGGGTGAAGCTTCAAGAAAAAAGAATTTCGAATTTTTTCGAAAATTCATGACAAATTCCCAATTTTTTAAGGGGCTTCTACTTATCGCAACTTGTTAAACAGGTTAATATATCACTGAATATAAATTTGAAAGAGCCTAGAAAATTGTTTGAGAATGGAAAATGGTTCCTGTGATAATCAGATTCCTATTTTTTTCGAATGAGCTTCATGGGCTTGATTTCTTTCAGCTTAGATCCTTTTTGGCTTCTTCAGTGATTAGTTTCTGAGCCGCCTAGAATAGAATAGTTTAACTCAAAACTCAGAGGGAAAAATATTGTGAAGCTAACTAGAAAAAAATCTAGCAAAGATTTGATTTGCCAGTCAATCGAAAATAGTTTCATTCTGCGCATAGACAAGCTCTATGTGAAGGCTGAGTCAACAAGAAATACAATTTTTTGGTTTTTCTTATGATGTTGAAGAAGAAGAAGTCTTTCTCGAAGCATCTTCAGAAAATCCAACCGAGACCTTAATTACAGTAACCTGGTTATTATTTTCCTCTTTTTTTCGATTTTCCACAGTATGCCTTTTCTCTCAGTTCCCATACAACAGTATCTTATACTAAGGAGAAAAAATCATTTGTACTTTTTTCCCTGGGAAAGTACAATATTTTTTACGCGATCAAAAATAGAACTGTTTTTTCTTTGATTTGTAGTCTCTGCTTAGCCCTTTATTTTTAGTTGTTTCTAAGCATAGCTCGAAGCTTTTTGGTTGAGCTTATAAGCTTATCAAAGTATTTTCAATCATTTAGAAAGCTTGAGAAATTTCAACACAACATTGGAATAATCTTTGGATGAGCTGGGCTTTGAGGGATTTTGATTTTTTCTGAAAAATAAAAAATGTTAAAAATAGTTTTGAACAGTGATTTTCCGTGTTATGTGGTCATTTCTTGGTTTTAATCGAATAATTGATTTTTTTTTCGGTTTTTAAATTCGATTTGAAAGAAAAGCATCGAAAAACTACCTATTTTTCTGATAAGATTTAAATTTAAACTTCTTTCTTTAGAACTTCTTAGGGCTAGCTAGCTTGAAATCGCGTCATTTAGCTGACTGATCCGAAATTTAAAAAGACAAAACAATTTTTAATTTCAGTAATTTATTTCATGTACCTGAAATCTTTGCTTTTTTGGAATAAGTAGCATCATCTGGCTTACGAATTCGTCATCAGACATAGCATTTGTTATTATTTTTAGTTTGGTCGGGATAACCTTCCTCCAAAAAATAGGAACTGATCTCTCGCTTGTCTGGCGACAAAATCTTGATTTTTGGCCTCCTACAAAACCTTCTTACTTATCATTCTCTTCTAGGAATTGCCAAAGATCAGCTACTCAAAATATCAAATCTCAAACAACTATGAGACACACGAGATATGTAACCTCTGGAAGATTTCCGGAATGACGCAAATTTTGCGTGGTTCTGAATGAGCCGAAGCGCCTTTTTGGAGGTTTTCGAATAATCTTGACATCGTATTTCTCGGATTGATATGCTATTTTATGAATGAGAAAAAAAAAGTTTGAATGAAGTCATTCAAAGGGAGTGTAGTATTCAGCGTAACAAAAGAGATAGAATAGAGGTATTATTTGAGAAAAAGAGCTTGATAATCTGACGTGAAGCCGGAAATAAAGCAACGTTTCTCCTGGCTAGGGAACGTATCCCCCTTCGGTGGAATTTTTTTGATGGAATTTTGCTGGATTGTACTTCAGGACCTCCTGATTCTAGTACTACTAGAATAGATCTGGAGTTAGGACAGTTCAAACGCTTAAAAATATCGCTTTTTTTGTCATAATTTGCGTATTTTGCATGCTTTGAAGCTTCATAAATCGAAAAAGAGATCTATTGCGAGAAATTTTTTTTTTGTTCTGATATCAGAAGGGCTTAAAGGGCATTTCACGTTTTTATCAAAAAGCTCAAGGGGGAGTGAAAAAAAGACGTTCCTTTAGTGAAGTGGGGGAAGTTTGGAAGAAAGATGAAAAATATCAGAGAAAAATTGGCTAAATTTATATAAAAAGGAGTTTGAGAAAAATTCAAAACATATTTTTCTAGAAAGTAAAAACAAAATTTCTACAATTAGAAAGCGTGGCTTTTTTTGACTTTGATGGGATTAATTTTGAAGGAACAAAATTAATTTCGTTTTTTTAAAAGAGGATACACTCAATTTTCCTCAGCTAGAGCTACATTTCATTCATTAATTTCAAAAAAAGGCCAAATTTTTTCGAATTTTCGAGTATAATCCTCGATCCTAAGTGATTATTCCAAAACTCATTATAGTGGATCAAGTTTATGATTTTCCAGAAGAACAGCATCTTCGGGAGCAACTGCCCGACGCTCGGGATGTTCACGACGCCCGTCGGGACTCCTCTCCTGACGCCGTCGCCCAACTTCTTCCAGGCCGTCCCGAGTCTGGCCTACGGCACATTCTGCACGACGCCTTTTCCCGCCTTCTACCCGAATATTCCCGCCGGCGCCGGAATGTTCTCCGGCCTCGGACCTTTGGACATGCAGTTGTTACTTGCCAATATGAAGTGCCTTTCTGAACTTGTCGCTGTCACTACAAATAGTCAGTAATGTGTAGTTTTAGTTATGTAGTTTGATCATTACGGCTTGAAAATGACTGACCTGTCTGCGCCCTCTGTTCTCTCACTTTCAAATGAAACTGCTTCTTGGCTTAGAGACCAAGAGAACGCAGATAGGTCAAAATTCTAGAGTATGACCTGTCTGCGCTCTCTCATCTCTGCTTGTCATTTTGAAAAGGAAGCGTTGAGAGATGAAGAGCGTCCAGACAGGTTAGCTTGTTAGCAAATCCGGTATGTAGTTCATTCATGATAGCTTTCTGAGATTACTGAAGGTTAACCTCTTTTTTTTGAGGCTATTTTTCAAAAACTGTGCCTTTGAAAAATTTCTGAAAGTCGCTGTGATTGAACTACATATGGAAAGTTCGTTTTTGAGTTCTTCCGTTGTTTTTTCTTTGTCGAAACATAGTTGATTCACCGCCAATTTGTACTAATATGAAAATTTAACAAGATCCTATGGAATAAGGCGACCTTGAGGCAACTTCGCACTTAATTAAAAGTTGGTTCAAGGAATAATTAGGTGGCGAAAATGTGCAATACTCGATAAGATATGTCGAAAAAGTGCGAAAAAAGGGCGGAATGGCGTCTTTTTTTCACAGTATCTGGACATATTCTAACTCATTCTGGCATCATTTATAGTTTCAAGTTGGCGGTGGATCACCTGTGCTCTTTTTTAGTTGCATTTTTCCAAGTTTCATTCATCCCATAGTTTTAAAAACTGCTTTGAACGTGGTACTAGGTTGAACGGAGAACTCCGTCTGTTTCATTTTCATCTTTTTTCTCTGCATCGAGCCTTTTTTGCAAACAAATGTGTTCATTTTCCAAATCTTATATGCATTTTTTTCATCTAATAAGCATTTTCGTATCATTTTTACAAAGCAACGACTCAGGGCTGGTTCCTTCCTTTTTTTTCGTCAAATTAATTTTTTCCATGACTTTTTTTAATCATATCTTTTTGCCAGCATTTTATTGTTCACGCCTACGGTTAAACTTGTTGTTTGTTTCGAGAAAAAAAAACTTGTCCCGGTTATGGTTTTTCTACGTATTATGTGTTTTTTTCTTCCAAATCCTTGTGCGTAATTGGACGGGAAATAAATATTTTAATCATAGGTAATTGTCTAATAATTATCGAAGAAAATCAGAAAAATCAACGAAAAACAACGAGGTGCGACATTTTTCTGTGTTTCTCAGTTTGGCTCCGCCCATTTTTCCGCGCTCCTCGGCCAAACTTGGCGCGTAGTTGGAAAATTCAAAACTTTTGCTCAACTTTTTTTTTTCATCTCTGCTCTTTTTTCGTATTATTTTTGTTCTTTCTTTGTTATTTATCTAATATAAGGTCCAGGTAAGCTTTCATAAGGGATACCCTTGTTTTGTTCAATTTTATCAGGTTTTTTTAATTGGAACTCTCCGAATATGCGAAAAACAGAGTTTTTTAAAATTTTTTCTTGGATTTTTATTTTTCTTTTGGTTTGAAATTAGTTCAAGATAAATATTTAAACCAGTTAAGTCGCTTTTTTTCAGATTATTCAAGCGTATTTCTAAAGAATTTAGAATATTTTTTTATTCGCTTTACAAGTAGTTCTGCGAAAAAAACAAAAAAAATTTTTTTGTATTTTTTTCTTCTAATTTTTTTCCTTATTTTTTTGGTTAATGACAGTTAGGTGACCATTATTTCAATTTCGAAAGTCTATTTACAGTTTTTTTAATTCAGAAACTTTTTGAACTTGAAAGAAATTTCTCTTTATTTTTTTGTCAAGAATTTTTTTCTGTTTTTCATATTAATTTTTAGTTTCTAGTGGACATTAGAATTAGACCTTCCCCTTACATTTTTCATGTACAAGTGAAGTGCAAATTCAATTTGAACATTTTGACTTTGTAAGTGATTCCAAGGTTTTTGGTTTTATTCGATTTAATTATTTTATTGATGATAAGAATTATTTTTATTCAGTAAATCCGCCTATAAATTTCGAGTTTCTTTTCGTGAATCAATGAATGAAATTTTACAAACTCCGTGTATTTTTTTGTTCGTATTAAATATTAATATTTAGTGTTTTTTTCAATAAGAAAATAATTTCCAGAAATGACATCATCAAATGACTCAGGAGTCGCATCAGATTGTGGCGACGCGCCGCCGTCGGCCTCGTTTGAAATTTTGCAAGTTTTGGGCGAAGGTTTGAAATTTTTTTAAGGAAAATTATATATATTTTTTTATTTCAGGAGCTTTCGGCGAAGTCCTTCTGGTCGCAGACAAGCGAAACCCGAGTGTCGTCGTGGCGATGAAGAAAATGTGCCTGAAAAGGGGCGACGAGGAGTCGAAAAAAAGTTGATTCGGAAAGAGGTTTTTTGGTTGGAAAAAAATTATAATTTTTTTGTGTTTTTTTTTGAGTCATAGGTAAGACGGACTTTCAGAGTATCCTGGTTCCAATTTAAAATCTTTTTTCGCGTAATTTTTTTCCTAACTATGTCGTGTTCAAAGTGATTCAGCGAAATCAAAAAAATGCCGTCAGAGAATGAAAAAGATAGCTAAATTTTGGAGAGTCAGAGATAATTTTGCATTTTCGAATCTTGAACAAGACACTGGAAACACGCTAAAGTTCTCATTTTCTTGACAAAAGTGGTATCTTTTCGAACTTTAAAGTGTTATAACTTAAATTAAAGACAAAGTGTGTTGAAAATTATTTTTGAAACAGAGAAAAAAATGTTTTTTATTTCAAGATCTCAATGAAAAGGTGAAGTAAAATATAATTTAGGCTCTGCTCCACAAAATGCTGTCGAAAAAAGGACACCGGAACGTAATAAGGTACATTGGGATGAAGAACGACGAGCAAACTTTGGAATATTACATTTTCCTCGAATATGCCGACGCCGGGGAGCTTTTCGATCAGATCAGTTAGTTTTTGGGGTCATTTATAATCATTTTTCAATAGGCTTTAGTCTGAACTTGGGAGTTTGGAAGTGGTTCCTATAGGGGCTACGGAGAGAAACAAGCCCTATAAGGGCCGAAAAAGTGGTCCTTATAGGGTTTAGGGTCTGATCCCTTAGCCTCTACAGCTTGAGTGGTCCCTATAGGGGTCTTTCGGCGTTTATTCAGTTTTTCTCATGGAAATTATTCTTCACAGAGAGTTCATAAGATATATCGATTAGCATGTCCACTACAGGGACCACTTTTACCAGCTTTAGTGGTTCCTACAGGGATTGATAAAATGGTCTTTAAATGGGACCCTATGAGGAACACCCTCTAGTTCTTAAAAATATCGAAATTCCAGACCCGGACGCGGGAATGACCGTCCCTCTGGCCCGCCATTATTTCCGACAGCTCATCGACGGCGTCGAGTTCATACACTCGAACGGGATCGTTCATCGCGACATCAAGCCCGAAAATCTTCTTCTCACTAACAGTGGTTGGTTATTTTTTTCAGAACTGAACAATAATCCTACATCGGCTTGATCCCACCCCAGACTTTTGCGCGCGAAAGAACAATTTGAAAACTTACTGAAGAAGGCCGCACTTTTTGGGGTGGTACTCGGGGGTGGGATCCAGCCGAAGTATGATAAGAATTTCTTTACTTCACTTCTGTAGGCTCTTTTTGAATAATATTGTTCCAAACAAGCTTTTGAATTGTCTAATTTGTATAAAATGAAGGTATAGCTGAATCACGGCTAGCTTTTGGCGTGGCCTGTCTGCGCTCTTCATCAGCCAGGCGCTGTCTCGGGCATTTTCGTGTCAGGACCCTTTTTTGGATGGCTCAAGGCAGCCGTAGTGCCGAAATGATTCTCCATTAAAAAAACCTAGAATATAATAATATCTGATTTATTTCGAAAATAAAGACTGGAAATATTAGTGGCTCATCTTTCTTTTTCCCTTTGATTTTTCTCAGATAAATGGTTGGTTTTTCCGAAAATTATGCTCGTTTTTTTCTCAAAAAAATGTGGTCGGTTTTTTTCTCAAATTCGTTATTTTGAATATATTTTTCTAAACTGGGAATTTTTTTGAAAAATTCTTCTTAAAATTTGAATTTTTTTCCTAAGGGAGCTAGAAGAGACAGAATCCTCTATTCAAACCAAAGGTTGAATTTTAATGATACCTGATTTATTTCGAAGTGAAGTTGAAAAATTTTGGGAATTTAGCGAGGAAAATGCGCTCCAAAAATCTTGACAGCTTTTTTTTGTTTCTCTCTGGAAATTCATTTTGATGCTCCAAAAATACTTCATTTTTCGGCTCTTTTTGTAATATTTTTCTAATTTTAGCCAAAAATCCTGATAATCAGCTGTTAAGAAGATGAGGTAAGAAATTTGAAAAAGTCAAAGAGTTTGAGAAAAATTATGCGATTATTTCCATTGGTTTTTTCATAACTTGTTTTTTTGTTGAGTTTCAGCTTTGTAGCAAGTTAAAAAAAGGATTTGATTTATTTTGCCAAGAAAAAAAAGCTATAAAAATGAATTTTTCAGGCTTAAAAATTTTTTAATTGTCTTCTTTATAAGAAATGGAGGTAGTACAGATAGGATTCTTCAGTGAAATAACGATTTTCGCCTTATTTTGTGAATAATTTTCCAGGTCTTTTGAAAATCAGCGACTTTGGAATGGCGACGATTTTCCGCCACGGCGACAAGGAACGACTACTGGAAGCCAACTGTGGAACCTTGCCTTACGCGGCCCCGGAAATCTTCAAGTGCAATCGATACAGGTTGGAATCACCTGGATTTCAGATAATTATCATTTTTCAGAGCCGAGCCGATCGACGTCTGGTCGTGCGGGATCGTCCTGACGGCCATGCTCACTGGAAATTTGCCCTGGGAACGCGCCGACGAGTTTGTTTTTTGGCTTGTTTTTGAACAGGGAGTAGAGATTTTCGAAGAAAAGATAAGGAAAAAAATTAAAAAGTAGGGGTTTTCGTACTTAATGGCCTTGGAAAAATATTATAAAAAAATTGATTTTTTTCAAGAGTTTGGAGCCCTTTTTCAAGAATTTTAAGCCTTTCGTTCATTTTTTTATTATTTCAAAAAGTTTATTTTTCAATTTTCAAATCTTTTAAAAAAAGAAATTGAGGTCGAAGAGAAGAAAAATAGTTCATTTTTTGGTCATTTTTCTAATAAAAATTGTGAAAAAAAGGTTAGTGAGAAAAAAATTTATTCAAGCTCTTTTTTTGTTAAATATAGAAATTTCTTTTTAAATGTATCATGGGTTTGCTATAAAGTGCGACCGCTTTTTCGTGCTCCATTGCAAATTAATAAAATACGGGCGTTTTTTGAGTTTGCTGTTCCGCAGTTGAGGGGGTAGGCCGCACCCCGGGGTGGGATCCAGCCGACGACTTTTTCTATTGATTTCTTAACAGTTTAATGGTCCCTCTTTCGTATTTTTAATGTTATCGTTTTTCAAATCATTTTCAAGATTTTATTTTGTCATATCTTCAATTTTTCAACCTGAATTCCGGTTCAATACAGATTCATTGAAGTGTAGAAAATCGTTTTTTTGAAACTTAATAAAAAAAGCCTAATTTTTTTCCAAGATATTAAAAAAACGCGTTGTGAAGAGGCAAATAATCTCGTCGTAGTACCTTTTTTTGAATAGTTTTCTTTTTTCCGAAAGGAAATATAGGAAAAATTACGAAAAAATTGCGAGAAAAATTTGAAAAAAGATAAGATTGAGGAACGCATGGGTTTTCATTACAAATGGAGCTCAAAAAGCTGTCGCTTTTTATGAGAGCTCGCACTATATAGCATTTCGGTTTTCTGGGAATTCGCCTTAAAAAGAAATTTTTTTAGTAACATCCAGTCGACTCGAGCGACTTTCCATAGAAAATCCGCCTTTTTTGAGTTATAAATTTATTTTTTGGTTTTTTTTTCCCTTTTTTTTTGATTCAAGATCACAATCATTTCGCGTATTTGCAGTCACTCTGAATCGTATCTCAACTGGGATTCGAACGTCATCGACGACGAGGCCGTCTGGAAGAAAGTCAGCGTCAGCGCACTGTGTAAGAAAAAAAAAATCGATAACTATCACGAATTATTTGTAGCTCTACTGAAGATCATCCTCGTGACGAAAGTCGGCCAACGGGCGACCATCTCCAGGATCAGAAATCATCCCTTCTTCAGCAATGCCAGTGGTATTTCAGCTTTAAAATATTCAAATCGAAATCTTCCAGCTTCTTCTGGCGGCCCGGCCAAGCGAAGGAAGGTCGGCGAGGAGACTTGGTGGGTTTTTTGAAGAAAGTAATGATGTCTAGGTGATAAGGAGCTTGAAAATTCATACGAAATCGTCTTTTTGACAAGTTTTTTCTATGAAAAGTCCTCTTAAACGGGAGGTCATTTTCTGAAACTTCGCTCACTTTGATTTAGATGAAGATCCCTGATAGTGTCCAGATAAACGTCTGATTTGTCCAAATTTCTAGTTTTCGAAATATTGATTTTTTGAAGTTCGCGCTTACCTCAGAAATAGGTCCCACAAGGAGGTCGTTTTACTTTGCGGCTCGGAATTTTCTGAAATTTTGCTGAAACACACTCTGAAGATTCAGATTAAGATTCCTGATAGTGTCCAGTTGTGCAAAAGCCTGATTTTTTAGATATTGATTTTTGAAGTTTAAGACAGAATCAGGCCCCACAAGAAGGTCATTCTACATAGTGGCTCAGAAATTTCTGAAATTTTGCTCAAACATTCTCTGAAGGTCTAAAAGAGGTCTCTCACAGTGGCTACCCCCTTCAGCTTCTATTTTTCTAGATAATTATTTTTTTAAGTTCGAAAAGTTAGGTTTGAAATTCTTTTTTCGCAAGTTTGAAGAATCATATCTCAAAAACTAGAAGTCTAATCAAGAAAACCTCATTTTCTTATTTATCTGAGAAATGAAAAAAAGATTACAGGGACGCGTGCACTCAAATCGAAACGCTGCTCAAGGAGTGCGACCAGGAGAACTCCCACAGCCGCGTCAACCTGTCCTTCTCGCAGCCGACTCGTCCCGAAGAACTCTACTGCTCCCAGCAGATTGTCCTGTCCCAAGGGAACACTGTAAGAGATTCGTATTGTGATCTCAATTTTCGAAATCTTCTGTCAAGTCGTTTCTTCCGGGCTTAGGGACTCTAGAGGGGGAAATTCTCCCCATAGAGGAAATGCTACTAGATGAATTTTATGTACTCTATGAGAAGAAGCAGGCGAAAAATTGAATGAATAAAAGTTTTTTAAATGAAGTTGAAATATCCCTATAGGGACCACTTAAGCTTTGAGAGCTGAAGGGTCGAACCCTAACCCCCTATAGAGACCTCTTTTTCGGCCTCCATAAGGGCTGTTTTTCCTTTTACTAGGGAACGTTTTGCACACTTTGAAGCTCTTTAACTCGGAAACAAGAAAAAAAAACGTTCCCTGCTTAGCCCTATTGGGACCGCTCTGAAATTCGTTAGTACGCTGATGATTCCTAGATCACTTTGTATCCAACCTTTGAAGAACAACGGCTTTTGATCCGCTGAAGACGTTTGAATAATATAAATGATCATAATCTGAGAAGATTCTAACAAACAAATTGTTCTAAAGTTTATCATGACCGCATTTTCCAGGATCCGACGCAGCGTTTCGTGCGACGGATGACGCGCTTCTGCGTGAACGTCGACTGCAACGAGGCCCTCTCCCGGATCAACAGCGAGAGCGAAACGGCGGGTCTCGTCGCGAAATGGAAGACCGAGAACCAGGTCTGGCCCACCGAGGCAATGCTCGAAGACATCGAGCAGGTCATGCTCGAAGACAGGTTCTTTAGGGTCCCAAGGAAGCCTCGTGACTTCACGAGGAAGAGGAAAAATATTTGAGAGTTTCTGATTTTAACAGTTTTTTTTTAGTTGAGTAGTCATTATAGTGTTTTTCATTAAGCAACTACCTTGAGGTCACAGGGAAATTTGATAAAATTCAAAAAAAGCTTTTAAAAAAATAGTTGTTACTACAATCGATTCATATAATCTTCTTCTTGAATAGTTATTAGATTATTCAAACCTGGCAAGTAGAACATTTTTTTAAAAAGGTTTTTTTGATGCTCTTTTAGAATTTTTGGGTTTACTAGAAGAAAGTAGGTATGACAACTAGGTTTTCAGGGCTTTTTTGTGGGAAATTTTCCAATAAATGATGGAAATTATTCACAGTAGTACTCAATAGCATTTCAGCGAATTTAATGGGGCTTTTTTGTAATTTTTGAAGAAAAACGGATTTTCATATGCCTTGGAATCAATTCTTCAGTAGATCCAGTATTAGTCAAAAATATTATTTTATCACTTTCTTGTAAAATTTGACATTTTTGGCGGATTTTAACAGTTTTTGTACAATTTCATTGAAAAAGAAAAATTTTGTGACAAATTCAATAAATTGTAACTTTAAGCATCTATTTGTAAAAAAATAAAAAGAGTTTAAAAAGATAAAATTCAAAAATAAATAAATAAATTGCCTGTCATTATCAGGGTTTCGTCACCTTGCCGTCTTTCTTCACTAATCTTGCCAAATTTAAATATTTCCAATTTTTTTCTTGTAACTTTTTCAAATTTTTTTAATAAGTCACATGTCAGAGTTCCCAATCTTTATGGTTTCATCAAAAATCTCTAAAATAGAAGACACAGGGGCTTGGTAGGGAAAAATAATGGGGAAATTTTTAGACTTTTTAGATATTCAGTGTTCGAAAAAAACCCAAAAAAAGGAGAGAGGTTAAGGTGGAAAACTATGGTACAAACTTGTTTTTCAATAGTTTATTCCTGCTGTAGCGACAATAATTGCAATAACAAATCAATTTCGGCTCAAAAGACGAAGAAAAGGGAATTTATTGATTTTTCCGGTTTCCTATCAGGAATAAAAGCTTTGTTGTAATTTCGAAAAATAGTTCGTCGTCGTGATCCTATAAGAAGTTTAAAAAAAAATCATTCGAGGCCAAAAATTTAGTTTTGTCGCTTCAAAGATTGATCTTCCTTTTTTTGAAAAAAAAAACTGCACGAAAAATCGGAAAAAAAGGAAATTTAGACGCTTTTATCCCACGTTAGTATTCAATTTTTCTTTCGGTAATTTAAATTTTTCTAGATTATATTGTGGGTCGCTCGAACACTGTTTCAACGTTTAGAATGAGTATATCCACCGTATACTAACATTTTTGCGCTTTCTTTTCGAGACCATTTGAAAAACGCAAAAACTTAAAAGCTTCGATCTCAAGCGTGCATACAGTATACTTTCAATATTCGTGTATAATTGCTATATTTGTGGGCTTGGGGCGATTGTAGTTGAGAAAATAAGTCAGTGAGGAAATATCGTGGAAACGTAAGAGATTTAGACATTTTGGCCCAAGATGGTGGTGAATGGACTTTTGAGTCATTTTCTGATTTATTTGGAGAAAAATGATGAGATTAGCGTACTTGGGGGGTTGCAAATAAGGAAAAAAGTCAGTGAGCAAAATATTCTGGAAAAGTAGGAGATTTAGACGTTTTAGGCCGAAGATGGTGGTGAATGGACTTTTGAGTTTTCAAAGAAAAATGACTAGATTAGCGTACTTGGGGCGATTGCAGTTGATTGTGACGCAACGCGACATGAGTTTCGTTGTAACTGGCTATGAGATGCTCTACAACGGCGTCAAGAAGGTCATGCTCGACTTCCGGAGGTCTCTCGGACTTGTTGGGGCCCATAATTGAATTTGAACAGGATACAGGTCTCGTGGCGACGGTCTGCAGTTCAAACGGACTTTTTTGCTTTTGCGCGACTCGGTGCAGGACATCATCTGCACGGAGGGAAACGACTGGCTTGCCGAGTATGGGTTGACCCCGACACAGGTGAGAAATTTTTAAGGGGGAATCGGTGAAAAGAATGGAAAATTAGTTGAGAAAAGCGTCAAAAAGGATAAAATTCCTTAAAAACGATTCCTTATTTTTGACAAAGAGTTATTGAATTTTTGAACGTTCTTTATGGAAAATCGGATGATTTTGAGGGAAAAAGAGGTCACGAAAACATTAAAAAAATATGAAAAAAAACCGTAAAAAAATTTTTTTACTTGAACCCAAGTAGGAAATTTTTCATTTTTCGAAGGTTTACAATAGAATTGGAAAAAGGTGAGTAAGAAATTAATCAAAAAAAGAGGAAAATAGCGGTAAAAACAATTATTTCACGATTTATTCAATTTTTTTGAACGTTTTTTTAATAGAGAATTGGATGATTTTTAGGGAAAAAAAGTAGGTTAAGAAAGCGTCAAAATCAGGAAAAAGTAGCCGAAAAACTTATATTTAAACTGAGACTGATGCAAGCAAGACATTTTTCAAATTTTGACCGATTAAAATGAAATTGCATAAAATAAAAACGCGTAAGAAAGTTATCCAAAAGATTAAAATTGGTCTTAAAACGATCTTTGTCACCGAATTATCCAATTTTTGAACGTTTTCAATAGAAAATTGGATGAAGTTTAGGTAGGATACACTAAGAAAATCAAAAAAAAAAATGAGTTAGAATTATTTTTCATATAGGTTTTTTATTCATTTGGACGAAGTTCCCCGGCTGGAATTTAATTTTTGGTTAGTTCTAAGCAACTTCAAGTATTCTTTCACTGAAAAAATCCCAAAGTGTTTCTCTGACCCCCTTCGGTGAGAGATAAGAGAGCGCAGACAAGTCAGAGAGAATGATTTAAATTCTATTATAAATCAAAAAAATATCCTAACTTTCAGCAACCAGAAGCTGCACTCGAATGAACGACGTCTCACAGCCGAACTTTACTAATTTATTATGTCATTTATTTTCAATTTTTATGATTTCTTTAAGAAATTGTTAACCCTCACCTAACCTCCCACTTTACTCGCCTTTTTTTGACTTCTTTCGAACATTCACCGTTTTGCCTCCTTGCCCCCCGTGTCTTGACTAACTAGTTGGAATAGTACTTACTTCTCTGTGTTTCTTTTTTTTTCTCCTACAGATCCTCACTTACTTATGTTGATTTTCTGTACAAACTGGAATGATCTGCTGCTTTTTTTGAATCTTTGTAATCTGGGTTATTTTTTTTTCGATTTGACAAATGTTCCACCCTGATGAAAAATAAAAATGTGCGTTTATTGAAAACATATTTTTGGGTTATTTTGATGATTTCGACACATTTTCGCTGAATTGTTTTTTGAGGAAATAAACTTTTTTTTTCTCAAATTGTTTGCTATTTTTCATGAAATATGTTCACTTGCTTCTAGAGGAAGTATCTGGTTTCAATTTAACTTTCCTTAACTGCGGCTCAAGTTTAGGTGGGTACTATAGGAGTTAATTTCCTGATCCCTTAGGCCCTGAAGCTCAAGTGGTCCCTATAGGGGTTTGGCGAGAAAACAGCCCCTAGAGGGGACAGAAAAGGGGTACCTAGACCCTCCGAGGACCCTAGAGGGATCACTTCGGAGCTGCTAAGTGGGAACTACAAGCATGCTTTCCTAGGGTGCCCACTTTTTCAAGCTTTAGCTTATAGGGATAGGTAAGATGGTCCGTAGCCCCTTTACGGGTCCTAAGGTTGCCCCTATAGGGATCACTCCGTAGCTTCTAAGTAGGAACCATAAGCATGCTCTGCTAGTGTTCCCACCCTTGCAATCTTTAGCTTATAGGGGATAGATAAGATTAGCCCCTTTAAGGGCCTCTAAGGTTGTCCCTCTAGGGACCACTTCGTAGCTTCTAAGTAGGAACCACAAAAATGCCCTCCTAGGGTATCCCCTCTGCAAGCTCTAGTGTACCTTATAGGGGTAGGTAAGATGGTCCGTAGCCCCTTTAAGGGCACTGAGGTTACCCCTATAGTGATCACTCTGTAGCTTCTAAGTAGAAACCACAAGCATTCTCGCCTAGGATGCCCACCCTTGCATGCTGTAGCATATAGGGGATAGGTAAGATGGTCCGTAGCCTCTTTGAAGGCCCCTAAGGTTACCCCTCAAGGGACCCCTTCGACGGTTCTAAGTAAAATTTTTTTTTGATTGGAGGATGAGCCGAATTGCGGCGGCGTTGATCGACCTCAGCGGCACGATTCACGTCGAAGACGTCGCCATTTCCGGCGCCGTCGCTGCCTTGGAGAAGTTGAGAACAGCGATGCCAGTTCGCTTCGTCACGAACACTACGAAGGTGTGCGGGAAACACGAAACATTTGAATTTCATTTAGTCGAAGGATGAAGAATAGTTCCCACTTGCACAAGCATAGTCCAAAAGGACCTTGAAGATGCCGGAAAAAAGCCCAGGCTTTTTTCTTGACTTTTCAAGAAAAAAAATAAAGGAGGCGAAAAAAGGAGATTCAGAACAAATTTTGACACGTTTTAGGAACCTAAAAGGAGCTCTAGATTTTGTTTTAATCGAAAAATTACTTGTGGAAAACTTGGTTAAAAAACAAAAAAAATCGCTTTTTTTTGGATTCTGATCCTGGAATGAAGTTTTTAATTAAGCTCATCCAACCAGTACAAAATTTTCAATTTGCAAAAAATCCTCGAGGTTTTTAAAGGAGCATGGAATAATCAAACAAAGATTTCAAGACGGATATCCGTTCTTTAGATTTTTTTGAAGAGACTGTTAAGTTATCACTTAAGTAAAATACTTTTTCTGATTTTGAATCAATTTTTCTTCGTATAACTAAGCTTTTTTTGTCCAGAGGGATTATTGAAACGGAAAATATTGAACGAAGATTCAAAAAAACCATTTTTTTGGCCAATTTTTTTCATTATTATTTCAAGTCTATCAAAATACTAACGTCAAATTTATTGAAAAAAAATTTTTTGCATAGAAAATTTCGTTATTTTTTTGCAGTTTCAAAAAAATTCTAGTCATTTTTAAAGGAATCTCAACGCGTCCTACAAGAGAGGCTTCTGAAATGCGGGTTCAAAATCGAAAAAGAAGAGATTTTCACAAGCCTTCTGGCCGCCAGCCAGTTGGTCCGATCTAAGAAGCTTCGACCCCTGTTGATGCTCGAAAATGAGGCTTTGGAAGATTTTCGAGGTCAGATATGGACGAAAAATAAAGATTTTTCTTCATGTAGGAATCGAAACGCAGAATCCGAATGCCGTGGTGATTGGCCTGGCGCCGTCTCATTTCGAATATGACCAAATGAACGAAGCTTTTCGGTTGGTTATCAACGGTGAGTTCTAGGAAAGGATATTGCTGAACAAGTATTGAAGTAATAAATTGGAACAAGAGAAAAAAATTGGATAGAGAAAGGAGGGTTTCAACTAAACGTTACTCAGAAACAGTGTGAACAAACTTATTTTTGAGAAAATGGGACCTTTCTATTCAAAACTCCTGACACGAATATTTAAAGGAGCATGGACCAATTTTGAAAAAGGTCTCAAATCGAATAACTGTTTTCCTTGTTCTTCAGGGTCTGCGCCTTTGAAAACTTTTAAAAAAATTATGAAAAGACAATTTCAGTTCATTTATTATTTACCATATTAAAATTAACGTAAAAATCAAGCTTCTCGGAATTTTTTTATTGATTCATTCAGAAGACGGCGAAATCTTAATCAACAAACTTAATAAAATATAATTTGAGCTTTTTCTTGAAATGGTAAACTTTATCTCTCGTTCTTCAAAGGAAGAAAAATTTATGGAACTCGTGGAAATGTATAAACCTCTCGTTTTAACACACTATTTCGCACTTGTTTTTCAAAGGTCTTTTTGAAGTTTGTTCCTTTTTAAAATGGCAAATGGCTCATGAACTGAAAAACTGAAATTTGAAATTTTTAATCAATAACTCTAAAAATTTGGATGAACTCTGTACAATCCTCGATTCTTATTCTGACCTTATCATCTTTCAATACTGGCTCAGAGGCTCGTGAGGGCCTCAAATGCCTTTTATTTATTTATTTCAGGCTTTTTATGCCAATTTTTTTCCCTTCTTTTTTTGTACATGTTATTTCTTTCTGCCTGTAAATAAATTAAATAAATTAAAATTAAATTAACCTTAAAGCCCTTTTAAGGTTCCCATCTAGGGACCACTTTGCCTCCCCCTATAGGGACCACTTAAGTTTTAGGGCCTCAGGGGTCAGACCAAATAGCGACCACCTAACTGTTACCCCTATAGAGCTTTTCCCTAATCCCTCCAAAGACCACTCTCGCAATATACAATTTCAAGTTTTTTTCTAGGCGCCGAACTGATCGCCATTCATAAAGCGCGTTATTTCAAGACAAAAGACGGACTTTCCCTAGGACCTGGGGCTTTTGTCACGGGCTTGGAGTTTTCAACCGATAGAAAAGTAAAGATAATATTTTATCAAAAGATTGGTTATCCACTTTGAAGGCCACCGTTGTCGGAAAGCCGCAGGCCCACTTCTTCTCCGCAGGTCTTGACGCGATCCGAACGGATGACGTCACAGAGTCGACTACGGTAATGATTGGGGATGACGTCAATGATGACGTCATCGGCGCGATCAACGCCGGCATGCGCGGCATCCTTGTCAAGACGGGAAAATATCGGAAAGGTAATTTGGAGTTTAAAAAACTAGAAAAAAGTGGATCTCTCCACTTTCTGCACACCATTAATCTTTTTGAGACGATTTTTTAAAATTTCACTGATTTTATTTATTTTTTGTGATAAGAGAAGAAAGTTGAGATTCTTCAAATAAAAAAATAGTAAGCATTTGAAAAAAAAAGATCCATAGATCTTCAATTGACTTTTACAGCTACAGTAACCTTTTCGCTTCGAGAGACTATTTAAAACTGTAAAATCGATTTCTTAGGCTCATCCATCTAAGGATAGATTAGTGTTGTTGTTTTTTACTAGAGTGTGAAATGTGTTCGCAAAATGGCGAGACTGGTATCGGTTAGCAAGTTCCTGCGTCCGACTAAAACCGATTTGCGCCCAGAGGCCTAGAGCAGTGTTACATGGAACACACACTTTATTGGCCGCTACGCGACCGCGCCGCTTTGAGTCATTTGCGACCACGAGGAAGAAGAAGAGGATGATGTTTTCAGTCCTATGTAGGCAGGAAATCTAAAAAAAAATAGAACCACATGATCGATGTGTCGAAACGAAAAGGGTACGATATGTATACCTTACTCATTTGACCGGGTGCGCCGTAGCGCAACAGGTTGTGTGCCTGTCTACGGTCCACAGGGTCACAAGTTCGATCCCCGCCGTGACCAAACCAAGGGATACAAAGAAATTTGGTAATGGGAAAATCACGACTCTTTTGAGCGGTTAAGTATAGTCTGTGTACCACGACTTGGAATTTCACCGAACGACATTCCGCTGTTCCGCTGCGTGCCTTTGCGAACCTTCGTCGCGCTTATAATTTTTTTTTTTTAAGGTACTCTACTTTCATGGGCTCCCACAGAAATAAAAATCATTTGAAAAAGTAACCTAGATTCGAAAGACGCTTCGCGAACGCACGCAGCGGAACAGCGGAATGTCGTTCCGTGAAATTTCAAGTTGTGACACACAGGCTATAATTGAAAGGGCAAGAAAAAAAAGTCTGATCCAAATGTTAAAATTTTTCAGGCGATGAAGAAAAAATAGACGTTCAACATAGAAACGTGGCTGAAAGCTTTGTCGAAGCTGTGGATCTGATTTTGGCCGGCAAAGTTTTGTGAGAAATTTCAATTCAGATTGTATCAATTTTAGTCATTCATTAGGATTTTCAAAGTTCTACCGTATAGAAAAATAAAGATTAAAAAAAGGAGAAAAAAATATATAAGCTCGAAAGATGATTGTTATAATATATCCAGGACTCTTTTTGGACCATAATTTGGGACAAGATCAAGATGAAAAGATGTTTTTTCAACTTCCCCGCAAGGTCGTTAAGATCAGATGTTTCGATATAATTCATAATAATGTGGGTATAAAATCTCAGAAATCGAGCCTTTTCCCCTTTTTTGCGACCATTCGTCTGAAAATTTTCCAAAATGGTCAATTTTCAAAAAAGAGCTATCCCCGCTATGTTATCCAGCTGCAAGTCGAGAAGGTCAAATTCCTGGCTATATTTTTATTTTTTTCTTTTGATTACCGTTTTTTTGGTCACTTTTTGGAAGGTGAGGCAAAGAGTTATGAGAATGAAGCAAGGTGGAATTCAGGTATGGCAAAATAATCGAATTTCGGGGATGAGGGGAAGTACAGTAAGTTTTTTTTCTCATTAGGGCGCACTTTGAAGACAGCGCCAATTTTTTAAAAATATTGGAGAGAAAGGGAACATTTTTGATTCCAAATACTCCGGAACAGAATAGTTCGTCGAATGACCTAAAAAATTGTCTCTAAGAAGAAGTCTCAAAAAATTTTTCTTCTTTTTTTTTGGAGTATACAAGAAGCTCAACTCCCAGGAAACGGTGCGGAGCGCGAGCGAAAAAGTGGGCGTGGCTGAGGTATCAAGCGCAATTCTCTTTAAAGAGCGATAAAATTGAAGTGAAGGTCCTTTTTTTTCGAAAATATTTCATAAAGAACTTACTGGATTTTCAGCAAAACTTTTTTCAGAATTTCAAGTTAGAAGGTCCCCTTAAACTTGCTATGCATTTTCTCTCTTGGCCAGTAGATACCTTGAAAGAATCATCACAGATCGGTTACATCTATGGGCCTGAAAATGGAGTATTTTTCACAAATGATGACTATACAAGGATCGCCATTGTTTCCGTCGTTGAGCATCTTGAAGACATTGGCCTTTACGAGACTGCGATAAGTTCGGAATATTCAAAACTACTTGAAAATAATGACTTTAGGTACAATGCAGTGCTACGCCAAAATTCAAGGCTATCACTATATTTTAGCCCTGGATTCGGATTTCGACTGCAATAATAATGAAGATGTGAGTGCCTTTCTCAGAACAAGCTCCCTTTTTTGCCAGGAAAAAATTCCTATACTCTTCATTTTGATGATCTTAAAATTGAATTCAGGGCTATTTCCGTCGTCATTGCGTTGTTTCGAAGATCCTGCCTCATTTTGACTATGTTCTTTTTGTTGACGCGGATATCGGCGTGGTGAATCCACAAAAGTAACTTCGAATTGTGTTTCAAATCTTCATTTTTTGTTGCAGAAGAATCGAAGATTACATGGACCACAGTTATGATATTATTTTCTATGATCGATTTTATAATTGGGAGGTCATGGCCGGGTCTTATTTGGCTAGGAACACCAAGTATGCGGCACAATTTCTGGCAGGTTAGTTATCTTCCAGGTATTTCAAATGGTGTGAAAACGTTTCATGCACATTTCGTGTTTGAAAAAGGAATGTAATTTTTCATCAATTTTTATTAGGAATTCTTAGGAAGCTTCTAATTTTTGTGTCAAACAATACGCTTACTTTTTATGAAAATCAACTCAAAGAGGTCATGAAAAAAGAAATGATTTTCCGGGCGTAAAGCTTCTTGCAGCAAGTTTGCTCTATGGAGAAAATGATTTCTCATTTTTTCTGCCTAATTTAAATTTGCTTTCTTGTCGAATTTTTATTAGACTTCAATTCTCACTGTCATGCAAGCTTTTCATAGGGGCGCGTCGTAGCGCAACAGGTTGTGTGCCTGTCTACGGTCCACAGGGTCACAAGTTCGATCCTTGCCTCGACCCAACCAAGGGGCTTAAGAAATGTTGGTAGTGGTAAACCACGGCTTCAAAAATCCCCAGCCGTCAGAGACCAGGACGGATATGTCACTGGAGCCAGTCCACTGATATCAGGATAGGATCTCGGCTAATCGACTTGGGGCGCCGATGCCGCTCAAGTGGTACAAAGGCGTAGGAAGAAGAAGAAGATGCAAGCTTTTCATAGAGATGAAGCTTTAAAATGTTTTTCATGAAGTTTTTTTAGGAAGGTTTGGATTTATTTAAAGTTCGAACTGTTATCAGTTTCTGTTAGCGTCAGTATGTGATAATGTCGCACTGAAGTTACTTTTCTAGAAAAAAGGAACATTTATAAATGGTATTTCACCGTATGTTTTCTTTAAGGAAGGTCTCGAGGCGAAGAGTCGTCCCTTATTATTTTTAGCCAATCATCACTTCAAACACCTCACTAGGGAACGTTTTTTACCCCTCGGTTGAACTTGAAACTTTGCTGAAGTGTGCCTTAGGACCCCCTGATCGCAGATCAAGAATAAAATTTCTCGCAATAAGTCTTGTTTTCGAGCTTCAAAGACCGGAAAATACGCAAATCAGGCCAAAAAGCGCTATTTTGAGCTTTTGAAGTGTTCTAACTCGAAAACGAGCTCTATTGCAAGAGTTTTTTTCTTGTCTGCAATCAGGAGGTCCTACAGTACGCTTGAGCAAAGTTTCATCACAATTTCAACCGGGGGTTAAAAACGTTCCCTAATCAGATAGACTTTTTTCAACAGAATGCATCGTGTTTCATTGAACTCTCTCTACGATTCCTCAAGTGTAGAATTTCTCAATCGGTTTTTTTTTCTCCAGGCTGGGCCGACCAAGAACACAAAATCCCGAACAGATTTCACGGCACCGATAACGGAGCGATTCACGTTTGGAATATTTTTTTCGACCAAAAATCACGACTTTTCATTTAATTTTCAGCAATATTTGGTTGAGATCCTGTTCCCCAATCACAAGAGGGCAATCAAGACTTGCTTGAAAGTTTACGAAAAGTCGCGCAATTACGAAGATCTGTTCACCTTTGAAGCCTGTATTAGATCTATCTTCGGATCTCAGAGAAAGTTCGATAGGATCGCCATTCTCGAAAAGGTTCATAGTTCTTTAAAAATCATGGCGAAGTGAAGTTTGAGATTCTAACGGGATCCTCAGAAGATGTTTATCGCATTTTCGTCTGTGTAGATCTCAAAAAACCACGAGAAAATTCCAAGCCACGTCTTTCCTAAGAAGGAAGGTCATGTTACCTAGAGGCTGGGAATACTTGAAAAGAATACTCCATGATGTACCAGATAGACATCGGGAAAGTTTCAATCTAAACAGGCTCTTGGTTCCCGTGAAAAGACGCATCAAAGTCCAAGAAGACAGGAAAATCCTTTAAAATGGGCCGTTTAGCCCTAATTTCTTGAAGGATAGGAGTTTGTGGAAGTTGAGATTTCTCATCCTCGAAGTAGAAAACCTTCCTTCTATGGCCTTTTTCATATTTTTTGCAAAAATAAAAATAAATTGCTTCTGGAAGACAGTTCAAATCTTGAAACCGAGTCCGATTTTGAAGGGAACCGGCTGGGCTCGAGACACCTGGCTGACCAACAGTATGTGGAGCAAAGAACACGATTTTATGCTGCACAACTGGAAGGAAGCTGAGATGTACCCCAAACCAAGGGGTCTCATCGAGTGCGTGATTCGTTTATAAAAAGCGTATAAGATTTTTGAACTCCAAATCACAACTTTTTCAAAAGGTACATTAGAAAATTGAAAACTGAAGAAAGTGTAGACGTTTCTGTCGGAGATTCAAAAAATCAGTTTCTAACACTTTTTTCTCATCTCTGAATATTTTCCAGGCCTAATTGGAAGCGAGCTATTGAGAAAATGGTTCAAAATGCTGCCTTTAGAGGAAAAAATAGTATCAAATTTGATAGTTTTTTCGTTTTTCTTTTGCCGGGCTTAAATAATCTCGATTAGTTCCGAAATAGACCATTTTAAGTTCAAATTAATTGAGAAACGAGTAGATTTATCAATTTAAGCTCGATCGCGTGCGACGCGTTTTTTTGGCGGGGATTCAAAATTTTTTTCTCATCAATTTTTATCCTCTTTTTATTTCACTCAGGAATCTAATGGATTTCATTTTTTTGAGTTATTGATTAAATTAACCAATAGAAAAAGAAGTCTCAAAATTTTTGAATTGGCCCCAAAAACGCACCGCGGCCACTTTGCCTTACGAACTGCAAATGTTGTCGTTTCAAGTCAAGAAGCATAAAACTATTGTACAGCCGATTCCGCTTGTCACATTTTCTTCCCGTCAAAATACCGTACACCAAATTACATCAAAATAGTCGCTTTAGGATCTTTGTTTTTTGCCGTTTGGTATAGTCTGTATGCCAAGACTTGGAATTTCACCGAACGACATTCCGCTCTTCCGCTGCGTCGCGAAGCGTCTTTACGAGCCTCGGTCTCGCTTTGAATTGGTTCTCATTTCTGACTGTTTCACTAGGAACACGTGTTGGTCGAGTTCTTAAAAAAAATGTTAAGGCGCGGCCGAGCACGCAGCGGAACAGCGGAATGTCGTTCGGTGAAATTCCAAGTCGTGGTACACAGACAGCAAAAGTTTGCATTTACGGTAGCTTTTTCTTGTCTGTTAGTTTCAAACGCACTTCCTCTTTTTCAAGATACACCTTTATTATTTCATTCCCATCCTCAGAGTTTATTTGTGATGCTTCTGAAACAGTGAGGTACCAAAAAATGTGTCAGTTCTAGGTCGCCTTGAGTCATTTTCTCAAAGCTCAGAACGTGTGAAAAAAAAAATAATATTTTCAGTATTCTGCCCCTTGATCGTTTCAAATGGTTCAATCCCCTTCGGGGCAAGATCAATATTTGGAAATGCTCGCCGAGGTTGATTAATTTTTCGTGAAGAATAAAAATGAGAAGCTTAGAAACTCCACGTGGAACTACGATGAAGAACTCATTGTCGATGCACGGGACGTCGAAGGGAAATTGAAGAATTATGCGGCCGTCGTGGCGAGAGAGCAAATGTTGAGCCTCAGTAGGGTTTCCAAGTTCTTGTGATGGTTTTAATTTTCTTTGGGGTTGAGATTTTTTGAATAAAAAACCTGAATCGAAAAAAGTTTCAATGAAGTTTTGTGCATGTTCAGCGAAAAGGTGTGTCTAAAACGAAAAATTTTAAAAGTGACGAATTTTCGAAAAGCATATTGACCATTGTAAATGTGACAGGAGAATAATTCATAACATTCATTTTCTGAAAAAGAGAAAGAAACACGAAAAGTACTGAAAAAACAGCAGAAAAGTGGAACCTTGAAAAACAAAAGTTGAAAGAGTCCGTCAGTGTGCTTGCGGATCATACACAAGATTCAATTACCGTAATCGCTAAATATAAAAATCTTGCTTTCTTCAGATTAAGTAAATAATTTTTTTGAATTTTTAGAGTTTGGGCATTTTTTTAGTTACCCTTTTAAAATAAATTTAAAAAAACCCTACTTTAAAATTGCTCATTTTATAATATTTTTCAGATCTAATAAAGTGTCAACGAAGCCAAAAATTTTTTTCGAAATCAAATAAACAAGAGTCGTTTGATTTCTTCCTACGACGCTCCGCTAAAACGCATGAAAATTCTCAAAAAGCACATGAGCTGAAAGAAGAAGTTTTCCTGTACATTTCCATCGAAATTCTCTTTTTTTCTCATTGTCCCTGTACCAAACAACAAATACAAGAGGACAATAAAAAGCGCCAATTTTCTGACGCAAAAAAAGGCGGGGCTTTGCCGTCGCTGTCGCGAATCTTTTTTTCCCTGGACCTGCCGATCCTTCACATCCTACCCTGGCAAAGATTCCGACTTTTCTCTTTTTTTTTCCAGAATATTTTACCTTTGTCGATACTCGATTTTTTAAATAACAATGCTTTGTTTACTGATTCAGTGTTTTAGAAGAGTTTTAGTTCATTTTCAATGAATTAAAATACGAACTTATATCGATCTTATTGAAATATGTTTGAAAAAGTCACTAAAAAAACATATCGACCAAGAAGTTATGTTTTTGAAAAAGGCTTTTTTTTTTTCGAAGGCCAAATAGTTTATTGCATCTTCAATGTATGCAATAAGTGATACTTTCAAAATATACACTTCTAAAAATTGTATCTCTTTTTCTCAAAAAAATCGAATGAAAATGAAATAAGTGACCTCTTATAAGTCTTATATCATTATTATAATATTATAGTTATGTGAACGCAAAATCCTTTTTGCAAAATCACAGAGGCAAAGTCGGAAAGACCCTCCGAGGCTGCTGGGAGGCTCCATAGAAATGTTCCTTTTTTGCTGCCTTTTTGCGCCATTTTCTCAGCCCTTATGCACCATTTTTGCTGCCTCTCCCTTTTTCCCCATTCCTTGACCCTTTGAAATCCCAGAAAAATGGAAGGATCGATAAAGGGACTCTCTTTGCTTCCTTTTCGCTCCCTTTCTGCGGCCTTTTTTGAGTCTCACAAATTTAGCGGCCATTATCCACCACTCCGACCTTGCCCGAGCATGGAAAACTATTTTGTATGATCCGAAGTTTGATTTGGAAGCCTCGCAGACTTTAAAAAAAATCCTCGGAACTTATCGACCCTCTTAATCGCCCTTTTTTGACAACTTACAAATTATCTTTAGTCTCGAAATTTCAGGATGCTTTTAAAGTACGTACGGTTGTTTATCGTTGCCTCTACGCTGTCTCTATTATATTTCATGAAAAAGAAAGCAGCCGTTTGGAAACCAACAAAGTTTTCAAGCAAATGGATTGTTCTCGCCACGGAGGATGATTATTCGATAGTGATTGAGGTGATTTTTGGGAAATTTCATGAAAAATTTTGACTCGTTTTCTTTCAAAATGATCATTTTCAGAGACTATCATTACTGAAAGATTGGGAAGTCGTCGTGGTTAGTGATCGGAAATATTCTGAGTCAATTGAATTCAAAAATATCCACGTCTTGAACTCGAGAAAAATAGATAATCTTGGTAGGATATAAAAAGCAATTTTGAGAAAGTTTTGCCATTTTCAGGCTACTCCATTGCCAGTAAAATGAATAAAACTTCTTCTTCCTGGAAAAATGTCGGTTATTTGTACGCGATCTCAAAAGGCGCCGAGTGGATCTACGACATGGAAATCGATATCGAATTCTATGGTCTGTTTCAATTGGAAGTTTCGAAGTTAGAATAAGGAAATCCAACAGGGAAGGGCTTGGATCAATTTGTATATAAGAACACCACTAGAGGGCTCAAATTCCTTCCTAAATCCAAACTTTTATCTGATCGAATGTTCAATTCTCATCATTTTTTCGGTGATCAGAACAGCCTTCCAAATGGATTTCCAGACATTAAGGTATACTCTGATTAGGAAAAATAGAATAAATAATTTTTTTTTGTTTCAGTATCACAAAAATGGCTTTGCAAAAATGATATCTTGTCGAGAACTGAAGAATGCCGCCATTCAACATGCTATGGTGGAAACACATGCTAAAGGAAAATCACTGTGAGTTCGAATCAGAGAAAAAAATCAAAGAAAAAAGGGTGGAGTGCATGAAGCCGCGCTCCACTGCTCACTTTTGGCGGGAGTTTGAAAATTCAAAATTTATTGCTGAACTTTTTCGTAACCGTTTCAAGACTAACTTGAGCCACAAAACCGGCGGAATCGTCTGAGTCTCCACCAATCACACGTTATTTTCTTTATCTTGTCGAGACTTTTTTTTTCACTGACTCAAGTCGCTATTTCACGTTGAAACTACGTTTCTCACAATTTTAATAATCCAGTTTTTTTTCTTTTGAGTATTTCATGCCGATTGAGAATAGGTGGGACTTAAGATTCGCTTCAGAAATGGGAACCGTTCAAACGGCAAAAAAAAGTTCAACAAGTTCGCGCCGCCCATCACTCTTTCACGTGGTGGGTTCTTCGAATTTCAATCGATAGTCAATAATCATTTTTAAAGGCACGTTTTCACCATTCGATTCTCAAAACACATTGTTCCACAGAAGAGCTTTTCACACGTTATTGCTCCCGTCTTCGTTCGATTCTGAGTAGTTATTTGAAACCGATAATAGGTAAAAGAACATTTTTTAGGGAGGCGACAATATGGCGGTCGTATTTCGCGCAGAAAATTCTGAATTTAACGAGAGAATATGTGGCTTTGATGCCTTCGAACACTGTTAAACTCGGGCAAACAGGAAAAGAAACAGATTTGGGACAAGAAAGGTATGTTTTTTTGGTAATTGATCAACTTTCCAGGGTTAAAAGGTAAACCTCTTTTGAAAAAAAAATTTAAAAAATCGAATTTTCCCGTCATGCTTTTTTGGTCGTATTACGGTAGTTTAGATAGGTTTTTGGTAATTAAATGTAAGCTCGTGTTCTTTTTGAGGCGTAACTTATCTTGTAACCACGAGAAATACTGGAAAAATGTTTAGCGGCCATTATAGGGTTTGAAGTTATAGTGGCAACTATAGTAGTCAAATTAGTAGTCCTTTAAGGGGTTCAAAATTAGTGGCCACTATAGAAGTCTAAGTGATAGTACTAGACCAATTTAGGGGTCAATGGCTTAACATAACTGGTCTAATTTGTTTTTTTTTTTTAATTATCAGAGTTACTGGATGAAAAACTACTGAAGTGGCCACTAAATAGAGACCCTCTATAGTGGCCATTAAAACGGAAAAAAGAGTCCTAACACGATAAGAAAAGAGACAGTGTCTAGTTGATGGAGAGCGAAGACAAGTTGAGCCTTTTTGTGTCCCAACCTAGCTGAAAATCAGCTTTAAGAGATGTATAAGAAAGATTTTTGATCTTCAAATTTTCAAAAGGTACATCAAAAAGTTGTGAATTATAGCAAGTGTAGACTTTTTTTTTGTCGGAAACTGAAAAAATATAACTATCTGTTCTCACCTTATAATGTTTTCCATGGGGGCGGCATAGCTCAGCTGGCATAACTCATTTCTAACGTCCGCAAGGTCGTAGGTTCGAGTCCCCCCGAGGTCGACCAAGCATTTCATCCCTCCGGGGTAGATAAAATTGGGAGCTGCATGCAGCGAAAAGGCTCAATCTCTGCCATCAGTTTAAACAGTTTAATGTTTTCCAGGCCGAATTGGAATCGAGTTATTGAGAAAATCGACAAATGGAACTGTTATTTATCATCCGTCGAGGCTTGTATTCTGCACTTGACGGATGTGATGATATCTTCGAATATGATCAAAGAGAAAGATGGACTCTTGACGAGGGCCTGGATCCAAGATCTGGCTAAAATTGGGTGGGATTTCATTATCTTTTTGGCTTATTGATAAAAATTTATGGAATGGGAGTTCAAAATGAAGAACTTTTCATAAAAAAAAATAGTCTACTTTTCGTTTGGATGATCCTTGAGCCAGAATACTTCCTGATCCATATGAAAATCTTAAACATATCTTCTTTCAGATACGTCTTCCCTTCTTTAAAAAGTAGCAAAAGAACGAAAACTCGTAGAACTTGGCGGAAAAGGTCGCCAAATTGCAGAAGAGCCAATATTGATTTGGTCCAAATTTCTGAAAACGAAGTAATTTTTCTAATGAACCAACCCTTCATAAAATCTTCAGGACTTATTCAGAGCCAATCAGAAATTGAAGGCCAACGCGGACCTTTCCAAATGGTGTTCCGTTGCAAATTATACAAGTGACAAATTTTGAAGTATAATCAATAAACGAACACTTCCAGAACTGAGTGAGAACCTTCCGGAAGCTCAGAAAATCGCCGAGAATCACCAAAACTCTTTCGTTCAAAACATGAACTTGGATACCGTAAGAAGAGTGTAGAAATATTCTAATAATCACTCAAAATACAGGTTCTAATCGTCACGAACAACTTTCCGTTCGCGAAAGAAGTCGGGTTGATTCAAAGATTATATGGTCCTTATTTCGGCATGATCATCTTTTGCGGCACTTTCGACGAGAGAAATATCAATCCGCCAGGTTTTTATGAAACTTTGATCTTCATCGTTCACATCATTAAATTTGTTTATCGTTTCGAAAAAAAAAGCTTAAAGTTTGCTACAGCCGATTCACGGCTAGCTTGGGATGCTTAGGAGGCGTGTGTCTGCGCTCTCCACCAGCTAGGCACTGTCTCTTTTCTTATCGTGTCAGGACCGATAAAAAAAAGAGAATCAGTTATACACGGCTGGCTTGAGCCATCGAAAAAAGGGTCCTGACAAGATAATGCACGAGAGAGTGCCTAGTTCGTAGAGAGCACAGAGAGGCCACGCCCCCTTGCTGGCCGTGAATCAGCTATATGATAACATCGTTTTCGAGGCTATTTTTTCCCTATGTCATTGAAAAATCTCAATTTTCAGACCAATATCTTGACCGATTCGGCAACGTTAATTTTGTCAACCTTAGTGAATCCGAGGTTCAGGAGGGCTTTTTCATCTACATCTGCGCTCAGAAAATCAGGGAACTTCAGCTGCAGAATGTTCGAGGTGAATGAAAAATTAAAAGAGAACATTTTGATTATTGAAGAGCCAATACTGAACCGAAAAACCAAAGGTTTTTTTAACGGTGAGTTTGAAACTATATTTTGAAAATGGAAACAATAGTAAAAGTGGAAAGTGAGTCCTCAAGGAATCTTTAAAGATCTTGGAGTGAGAATATAATTTTTTTCCAGTTGAAATGTTTTCCGTCCTCTTGAAAAACCTTAAGAAAAATCTTAACTTTAAGGTCATTTTTTGAATCCAAAAAAATCATATCTTTGGCTCTAGGTCCTTAATTCATATTTCATGTACCAAAAAGCTGATAATTGTGTGCTTGATAATCTTAAAAAAATAATACTCTCAAAAAAATTTTAGGAGAAATTACAGATTAGGGGAAAAACCTTAAATTCAAAAGCTTCCTCCCACTTTCTCAGGAGAAAATCTCATCATCGGCTTTTCAATTCCTTTTCTCTGAAACTGATATTGGTCTTCATTTTAAGCATATTTCAAACTTAAAAAAAACGTTTCTTTGAAAAATCTTGAAAATTGCGCTAGAAAAGTTTGTAAACTCCTTAATTGGATATTCTCTCGAAATAAATTTAATGAAACCAAGAAAAGAGCAGCCCTTAGCCTGAGCAGCCCTAGAAAGAGCAACCAAGAAAGAGCAGTCCTTAAAAACTGAATAAATGGATGTCGGATTGAATTTGATCGAAAACATGGACTGTATTTTCGAATTCTCCGTTTAGGTTATTACATGATGTCGGACGACGTCGTCTTCAATCACTGGCAATCGATCAATTATCAAAGTGTAGTTCACACGGTCGGCGCTTACGCCCAAGATCCAGAAAACAGATGGTGGGCCGAGGAATTCAAAAACATCTGTAAGAGTTCTTGATTCTCCGTCTTTTTGATAAAAAAAAAACATTAGAAATATGAATCATTTTAAAGCTTCCGACGCATTGGCGAGTACCGCTGAGTTCATGACGACTTCGGAGCATCCTGAAGTCGTGCAGACGTGGAATACGTTCAATGACGGGGTGAGTTTGGGGAGGGAAATTAAGAAAATCATAAAACAATCATGTGTGTTTCTTAAAAAAGTTGTGATTAATGGAAAATACGTAGATTTAGTTAAGAATTTTATTTCTAAGAATCCCAAAGACCAAAAAACGCCAATAACTCCAAAATAGACTTCCTTGGATTTATCAAGAAGAACTTTTTCGTGGTGATTAAAAAAAAATGTTTTCGATTTTCGGAAAGTTTCGAGCTTCTTCTGCTTTTTTTCACATCCTTTTTCGGTTGTCAGCAGAACTTTTTATTCTCACCAAAAAAATTGGGCTAGATGTTCTTCCCAGGCGGATCCTAGGAAGGTGTTAGGAAGGTAACCAGCATGCGGTTGGAAGGTGAATGGAAGCTAGAAGGTTTTGGGAAGGTGTTCGGAAGGTAGATAGAAGGTTTTGGATGTGAAAAATTGAAAACGCCTGCCAGAAGCCTTTCAGAAGCCTGCCTGAAATCTTCTGGAAGTTTTCAGACGGGCTTTTTTTCTAAGTAGAAGGTCTTTAGAAAGTATGTAAAAAGACATACGATCACATGCTGGGAAGCTTCCAAACGCCTTCTGAAAAACCGAAAAGCTTCCTAACTTTATGCTGAGTAGGAAAAAATCAAAAATTTTCCTCGCTCGTACGACCTTTCATAAAAATCCTCATGAATTCAGGTCAAAAGAAAAGGATTTAAAGATGGGAGCGAAGCATTGTACACTCAATATGTTGGTTCAATCAGCGATTTGTAAGTTTTTTAAAAAAAATATTTGAAAAATTCACTTTTATTTCAAGCATGTATATTCCGACGTCCATGTTGAACTATTTTGGAGACCTTATGGAGGTCTTTTTTGAGAATTATTTGTTCCTGGAAATTGCCGTCGACAAGTTTCTCCGCTCTGTCGATTATGAAACGTAGGAAATTTTTTTTTTCAAAAAGTATGAAATTTTCAGTCCTCCTGTGACCAGGTTGAGCTATTTATGGGCCGAGGATCGAGATATTTGGCCCAATTTTTACAATTCTTCATTTCTTAGCTTTCATCCAATGAAATATGGTTATTCTCGGTTCAATTTGACCGAAAGATACAGGTTTCTCAAAATTTTTCTTTTTCTCGGAAATGAATATTTTTGCAGGTATTGCGAACACGTGTTACAATTGTCCGTTGACATAATGTTAAAAGGAGGGAAACGACTACGAGGAAATTAATATATAAAGTTTCTTATTATTTATAATAATAAAAATTGAAAAAAACCTTCCAATATGTTTTTTTATGCCAGAGTCGGCCTTGAAAAAAAATATTTTTGGAAGTTCAAATTAAAGAATGAATAAATTCGTTCTAAATATATGAATAAAGCATCACATATAAATTAGAAGTCTGTCCAGATTTTAAATGTCAAGTCGTAGCCCAAGCTCCGCCCCTAATGGCGCGATGAACCAATCGGAGAGCGAGCCATTCACAGAGCGTTTTCGAATGACGTCATCGCGCTTGACATTCAGAATCTTATCTCCAGATTGAAGTTTTTGAATATTCTCTCGAAAGAAATGGATATGTCAAAATTTATAAGGTAATTTTGAATTTTAAGTCTCCAACTTCTTAGATTTCATTGACCCTTATAGACAGCCATAATCTCTTGAGGAAAGATTTTTACACTGATCCATAATCCGTAGGTACTGCGAACACATGTTGAAAATGTCTTTTGAGGCATTTTTTGGAAAGAAATGATTAAAAGAAGAGTTCTACACGGCTCCTTGTCGTTCAGAAGAATAGTGATCATACTTCGGCTGGGTCTCACACCGGGGTGTGGCCTACCCCCCTCAAACTGTGGCCATTTTCAAATTCTTTTTTCTTGGCTGGGATGGGATCCAGCCGATGTATGATAGTGACTTTTGTGATGTCTGGTAGCTTATAAAATTCTTCCAAGAACAGCTACACCGAAAAATCATTGAATGTGACAAGCGGATGATTCAAATCTATTCAAAATGAAATCTTGGGGAAATTTCGAATTTACGCACTTCTGTGCGATCTCAAACAGACCATCAGAATTGCGAAAAAGGTCTGGAATGCATATCCCAAACATCGTTTCTCATTTTCCATTTATGACGTTCTTTGCACGATAAGCGGAATGGTGAGAGGTTTAGACGTCTTCAGGATATGTTTTGTCTGAAACGATCCTCAAACAACTATAAATGAAGATCGGCTTGCCGAACTTTTCTATAAAGTGGACTTCTTTTTTGCAGCCAGATGTTTCCTTTTTTGTTAGTTCTTCGTTTCTGAGCTCTAGCTGTTCGGAAACGCTTTTTGTCGGCATGAATTTTTTTTTTTCGTCATTATCCTTGTCCGTTAGGTCCAGCATTTCTTTCAAACTCCAAAAAAATATATGGTTATTTATTCGAAGAAAAAAATATTCGCGAGATTTGATCAATTTAATATTATTTTTAATATAAATAAATTTGATGACAGTAGAATATGAAAGAAACGAAGAAAAAAGCAAAAATCCGAAAAATGGTAAAGCGTGTTGTCAATAGAGCAACTTTACTGCAAAACGCCGTTTTGGCGGGAACTCAAACTTTCCTCTCTCCGACTTTGAATTATTTTTCATCCGAAACTAGGAATTTCTGTACGTTTCCAAGTTCAACGTTCGACAGACAAGAAAGAGCTCATATTGGTCTGCAACGCCATTTTTTACTGTCCCTATGCTTCTGAGACAATTTTAATAAACTATGTTACCATTCTAATTATGACTCGATTTATTACTGAAGTTTTCCGATGATGTTGTCTAACAAAAACCTAAAAACCTCTCTCAAAGTTCCAGGATGATTTACAAATACGTTCGGTTGTTTGGCATCGTCGCTACATGCTCATTAGTGCTTCTAATAAAAATGAAATCAGCCGTGAACCGACCTATAGAATATTCGAGCAAATGGATTGTTCTGGCTACAGAAGATGAGTATTCAGAAGCGATCGAGGTGATAAAAAAAGTTAAAGAACAGGAAGAAGCAAGGTTTTGTACTAGAAGTGATCTTGTAAAAACTTTTTCTATTTTTTTTTTGGTTCACCTATATAACAAAACTTTAGAAACTATTGTTGCTGAAAGATTGGGAAATCGTCCTGGTCAGTGAACGTGAAACACCCGAGTCACTCAATTTCACAAATGTACATTTTTTAAATTCGCAAAAGATCAAAAAATTAGGTCGGTAACTGGAGACCTGAAAAACTTTGATTTAACTCAAACTTACTCAGGTTATTCAGTAGCAAACACGATACATAAAACTTCATCTTCTCGGAAAAATGTCGGTTATTTGTATGCAATCTCAAAAGGCGCCGAGTGGATCTACGACATGGATATCGATATCGAATTCCATGGTTTGATTTGAATTTATAGAAAACAACAAAAATTTCTTCAGGAAAAGGATTGGATCAGTTTTCATTTGATAAATCAACCCGTGGACTCAAGTTTTCGCCTGAATCGGATGTTTGGTCTGATCGAATGTTCAATTCTCACCAATTTTTCGGTGATCCAGACAGCTTTCCATTCGGATTTCCAGAAATAAAGGTTGCCTCAAATGATAACTTTTATAGCCTGTGTACCACGACTTGGAATTTCACCAAACGACATTCCGCTGTGCCGCTGCGCGCCTTTGCAAACCTTGGTCGCGTTTTCAATTTTTTTCTTTTTTTAAGGTACTCTACTTTCACGTGCTCCCACAGCAATAACAATAAATTGGAAGTGTGACCTAGATTCGAAAGACGCTTCGCGAACACACGCAGCGGAACAGCGGAATGTCGTTCGGTGAAATTTCATGCCGTGGCACTCAGACTATAAAGCTTATTTCAAAAAAATCGCTTTTTTGATGTAGAATCACACAAATGGATTTGCCCAAATGGAGTCTTGTCGTGAAATGAAGAATTCCGTCATTCAGCACGGCTTAGTGAGAGATTTCTCCGAAGTAGAGATTCCCTTGTAAGTTTTGGAGAGAATGCGCCCCAACGCATTTTTGGCGATATTTCAAAAATCCACAAAATTTTGGTTCTTTCTTTTAAAATTTGAGTTTAAGAAATGGAAACCGATCAGAATTACGAAGGAAATTCAACAAGTTTGCCCCTCCGATCGCTCTATCGCCTGGTAAGTGCTTGAAACCCCACTTGGGAATTGAAAATCATCATTTTCAGGCACTTATTCGCCTTTCGATTCTCAAAACACATTGTTCCACAGAGAAGCTTTTCACACGTTGTTCCTCCCAGTTTCATTAGAACCTCGGTGGTAACTTTTTTTGGGAGTAGAAAAAAAACATCGATTTTTCAGAGACGCAACAGTTTGGCGGTCGTATTTAGCTCAGAGAATTCTAATATTAACTGGAGATACTGTGTCTTTGACACCTGTGAATGCTATAAAGCTCGCGGAAATAGGAAAAGAAACAGAATCCGAACGAAGGTAGAATTTTTTCTACTTACAAGGAAGGTCATTTTACTTTGCGCTTCGGATTCTTCTGAAAAATGGCTAGAACACTCCTTGATTTACCAGATGAAGGTTCTGAAAGTCTCAACCTGCACAACTTCCTCTTTTTTGAAGAAAGGAACCTTCAGAATCCATAAAAATGGGCTATTTCAAGGCTTTGAGCCCTCATTTCTCAAAAACTAGGAAGTTGTGCAGGTTGATTCTTTCAGATTCTTCTTCTGGTGCATCAAGGAGTGTTCTGGCCAATTTTCAGGAAGTCCTCAACCGCAAAGTAAAATGACAAGCCCTGTGAGGTTTGCGAAAAAATTAAATAAAATAGAAAAAGTCCTTTAAAATTTAAGCTATTTTGCAGGCCAAATTGGAATCGAGTTCTAGACATTTTCGACTATTGGAACTGTTATTTACCCTCCGTCGAGGCTTGCACTAATCAATTAACCGAAATATTAGTATCCTTAAATATATTAGAAAAGCAGGATGAAGTTTTAACAAAAGCTTGGATTCAAGATCTTGTCGAAATCGGGTGAACCTTGACACTTAACCATAGAAAAAAAACATATATAGTCAATGTTTTCCGACTTGAAAGGCGAGAGAGGCGGTTTTGAACTCGTGCCAAGAGCCGCGTACGCACACGCTACGCGTCCCGCCCCTTGCCCCGCCTCCCTCGACTTTCAAGTCGGGAAACATTGACTATATCGAGTCCAAAAATTTTTCGTATTTTTCTTTTAGATACGTGTTTCCACCTCTGAAAAATAACGTAAAAACAGAAACTCATAAATCTTGGCGGAAAAGGTCGCCAAATTGTAGAAGAGCCAATATTGATTTGGTCCAAGTGGTCGAAAATGAGGTAATTTTTCTAATGAACCAACCCTTCATAAAATCTTCAGGATTTATTCAGAGCCAATCAGAAATTGAAGGCCAACGCAGACCTTTCCAAATGGTGTTCGGTTGCAAATTATACAAGTGAAAAAAATCTTGAAGCGTCTTGAATAAATGAATACTTTCAGAACTTGATGAGAACCTTCCGAAAGCTGAAAAGATCGCTGAGAATCACCAAAACTCTTCGAACTTGGAAACAGTAACAGAAAAAGTATATTACGTCAATTTTCAAGAGAATTTAGGTGTTAATTATAACGAAAAACTACCCATTCGCTGAAGAAATCGGATTGGTTCAAAGACTATATGGACCTTACTTCGGCATGATCATTTTCTGTGGGACTTTCGACGAGAAGAAAATCAACCCTCCAGGTTTTTTTTTCGAAAAGAAAAATTTTGAAAGGGCTCATTTATAGAGGAAAATTGAACTATCGAAAGCTAAGTTAAGTCGATTTTCAGATGAATATCTTGACCAATTCGATCGCATCAATTTTATTAATCTCAGTGAAGACGAGGTTCACGAAGGGTATTTCATATACATCTGCGCTCAGAAAGTCAGGGAACTTCAGCTGCAAAATGTTCAAGGTGAAAAAAATGAATAATGTGGAAAAATTGAGTTCAATAGTATAGCTGATTCACGGCTGGCTTGAGCCTTCGAAAAAAGGGTCCTGACACGAAAATGCACGAGATAGCCCTGGCACGAGGAGAGCGCAGACAGGACACGCCCCCTTAGCGTCCCAAGCTGGCCGTGAATCAGCTATAGAAAGAATTCGATTTTTTCTCACGAGAATAGTCTAAAGCTAACTGAGGCTTTGGACAGTCTCTAATAAGTCTAATTCTTTTTAAAATTTCTTATTCCAGGCTACTATATGATGTCCGACGATGTCCAATTCAATCATTGGCAGCCAATAAATCATCAACACGTGGTTCACACAATTGGAACCGTCAATCCAAGGCCTGGCGAATTTTGGTTCTCTTTCGAGCACAAGAACATTTGTAATCATTTTTCTCATTGGGTTTCCTTTTTGATACTCGAGAAAATCAGATCATTTTTAAGCTTACGAATCATTGGAGAATATCGTTGATTTCATGAACGAAACGGATGATCCGGAGGTTGTTAACACGTGGAAAATGTTTGAACAAGGGGTGAGTTTAGGAGTCTCAAATCTCAATATATCGGTCATAACTTTTCAAAAAATGAGTTTCAGACTCAAGAATTCTTGAAAATTTAGGTTAGAAACAAGGGGTTGGAAGATGCGAGACAGGTTTTATTGGCTCGGGACTCATGGTCGATCAGCGATTTGTAACTTGGGATATATAACTTGGAAAGTCTATTATATTGAGCATGTACATCCCAACTTCAATGATGAACTATTTCGGAGACCTGATGGAGATATTTTTCGAGCACAATTTGTTCCTGGAAATCGCTGTTGAAAAGTTCCTTCGCTCTGTCGAACATGACACGTGGGGAAAGAATTTATTTTTCTTACGGAATCTATAACTTTCAGCCCGACCTTAACTCACTCGAGCTATTTGTGGTGTAATGACAGGATCGAGTGGCCGAAATTTTACAACTCTTCGTTTTTGAGTTTCCATCCGATCAAATATGGAGCTTTTCGGTTCAATTTGACCGAAAGATACAGGTTTTTCAAAATTTTCAACGATATGATTTTTTAAGTTTTTCAACGTCGCTTTAAAAAAAAAAATTATTTCAGGTACTGCGAACACGTGTTGCAACTGTCTGTTGACATTTTGTTGAAAGGACAAAAACTGAATGATTAATTTTTGAAAATGTATTGAAGATGAAAAAAATAAATTGATTTTTCTCTATCGATTCAGCAAATTTGTGTGAAACTGTATTCACAGTGAGTTATTTTTCTCTCAAGTAATACCTTAATTTCTGGAAATCCGTTCGGCACGCTATTTTCATCACCCAAAAACTGGTGAGAGTTGAAAATTCGATTAGACAAAAACTCCGATTCCGGAGAAAATTTGAGCCCACGGTTAATGTCATCATATACAAATTGATCCAAGCCCTTTCCTGAAGTTTTTTGTTTCATCTCTGGAGTTTTGTATTGGATTGGATTTTCAATTCTAGTACGCCATGACAACATTTCAAAGTTTTTTTGAAATAAATTCCCTTTTGAGTGACATTTTCCACTTTTAAGAGAGAGAGAGAGAGAGTAAAATGGGTGTGCGGCGGGTGTAGATGGCGATCGTCTTGCCGATTTCCTCTCGCAAGTCCTGCGCTGCCCTATTTTTGACAAAAAAGTCCGATTGTTTATAAATCTTTCTCACTTTTTTTTTCAATCTCACTTTGAAGTTTTAAGATGGATTTAGAAACTCGCCAACTCGCTTTTTTTTAATAAATCATGTCTAATTCGGTTCCTCAAACTTTCTACCTGGAAAGTTCGTAAAGGGCTTCAAAAAAATGTTCCTTTGGGGGTGACAAAAGTTCCATTTTTGCTGCATTTTCGCGCCATTTCATCTACTTTTATGCAACATTTTTGCGGCCTCTCCCTTCTGCACCATTTTTTGAGTTTTAGGATGAACTGATCTGATCGTTTCTTCGTATTAATATATAATAAATATTTTACGTCAACAACTGCGTTGTCTAGCAAAATATAACATTATATACAAATACTACGAAACGATCACATTGCTAGTTCAAAGCCTCGGAATTTGGGATTTTCCTGCTTGCAAGGCGTTTGAGCGTTATCTGAAGCTCTCCTCGCGAAGGGGCCATCTGGCGACGCCTTCGACTGATAGCTCAGCCTCTAAACCTCAACCTCAACCCTCAACTCAACACCTCAACCAAGCTTCTATACAAGGAGCACTAAAAGAAGTCCTGAGAAGCAGTTCTCTCTAAACTAAACGATGAAGGGACTCTTCTTGCTGCCTTTCTGCGGCCTTTTTTGAGCCACTTCCTTTTAGCGGCCATTATCCACCATTCCGACTTTGCCCGAGTTTAGGAATGACCTTATTTAAATTTTCAAGATAAAGGCTCATCCAAATTCCTCACGCTCATTCTTATTCAGTTATTTCCCGAGGACCAAAAAATCTATTCTACAGAATGATTCTGAAGTACGTTCTTTTTTTTGGGGCCGTCGCCATTCTTCACTTGATATTTTTGATTGAAAAGCAATCGATTACCTTCAAATATAGCAGGTCTCAAGTCATATTCCTAGCTTTTCCAAATTTCACCTGTCATGTTCAGAATATACAAAACTAAAAAAAGTTGGAATCGATGGATAGTTTTGGCTACGGAAGATGATTACTCGGAGGCGATTGCAGTAAGGGAAAAAAAAATTCTAACTCAAGATGAAGACGATTTTTCAAAATTTCATGTTTTCAGAGGTTATCATCCCTGACTGATTGGAAAGTTGTAGTGGTTAGTGATTACATAACTACGTCCAACTTCACAAATGTCCATGTTTTGAATTCGCAACAAATCGAAAAACTAGGTCGGTTACAAAAATCTGATAATTTAATACCGATTTTCTTGAAATCATAGGATATTCTATTGCCACCGTCAGTTATGGAAGTCCTTCTACACGAAAAAACATCGGATTTTTGTACGCAATATCTCGTGGCGCTGAGTGGATTTACGACATGGAAATCGATATTGAATTCTATGGTTTCTTGCAATTCGAAACTCCAGAGATGAAACAAAAAACTTCAGGAAAGGGTTTGGATCAATTTGTATATAATGACACTACTCGTGGGCTCAAATTTTCTCCGGAATCGGATTTTTTGTCTGATCGAATGTTCAATTCTCATCAGTTTTTTGGTGACCCAAGCAGAGTTCCAAAGGGTTTTCCAGAAATTAAGGTATGATTGACTTGAGAAAAATAATAACTCACTGTGAATACAGTTTCACACAAACGGCTTTGCCCAAATGGAATCCTGTCGTGAAGCCAAAACTGCAGCTGTTCAGCACGGGATGGTGAGGACGTATTCTGAAGAAGAAATCAATTTGTGAGTTCAAATGAGCTTGGATTTCGAGAACGCGATCTGGACGTGTCTGAGCATTCCTAGCGATCATTCTAGCGGTCTCAACACTCTTAAGTGATTATTAGAAATCGTAGAAACGTCCGGTTTACGATAACAAAGTCCGAGAGTTTGAATGAAAAAAAAAATGAATGGAGAATAACAGGAGAAGAAGAAGTGCGCCCCAACGCAAAACTTCGACGAAATTCAAATATAGTCTGTTCCTATTCCAAATGACAAGTCCTAGCTGAAGCTCCGTCCCTCTAAATGGCGCGATAAACCAATCAGAGAGCGAGCCATCCTCAGAGCCTTTTCCCGAATGACGTCAGTCTACTTGACATTCAAAAATCTGAACGGACTATTTCAAAATTCATTAATAATAATCAAATATTATTATTTTGTCAAATTAAAGTTTTAGAAATGGAAATACGCCAATTTTACGGAAAAGATACCACAAGTTTTTCACCACCTATTACTTTGTCACCTGGTGAGTGCCAAAAATCTCCCTTTATAAAATAATAATCAATGTTTCAAGGCACCTATTCGCCATTCGAATTTCAAAACACGTTGTTCCACAGCACAGCCTTCTACGCAATGCTGATACCATCAGCTCTTAACTCTAGGTAATTTTTTGCGGCCAAATCAAAGTAGGAAATATTTTTTTCAAGGAACGCGATTATATGGAGGTCGTATTTAACGCAGAAAATGATGAACTTAACCGGAGATTTTGTGGCTTTGATGCCTCCAAATGCTGTCCAACTTATTAAGATAGGTATGAAAGCAGAATCGAAACGAGAAAGGTTAAATTTTATATTCTAACATATTCAATCAAGACCATTTTTCAGGTCAAATTGGAATCGAGTGCTTGAGAAACTTGACCAGTGGGACTGTTATTTATCATCAGTTGAGGCTTGTTTCATCCAACTAACAAATATAATGGTATCTTCGCGTATCTTAGAAGAAGAGAACAGATTTCTGACAAGAGCTTGGATTCGAGACCTTGCTAAAGTTGGGTATGTCGAGAAAAAAAAAATCTTGAGCAGGTGAATCGTCTAACTTTTAGATACGTCTTCCCCTCTATTCAAAATATCAAAAAAGCTGAAATCCCTAAATCTTGGCGGAAAAGGTCCCCAAATTGCAGAAGAGCTAACATTGATTTAGTGCAAATTAATGAAAATGAAGTAGTTCTTCTAATGAACTCAACTTTTTATATATCTTTTAGGCCTTATTCAGAGCCAATCAGAAATTGAAGTCCAACGCAGCCCTTTCCAAGTGGTGTTCTGTTGCGAAATATACAAGTGAAAAATACTTTGAAGTATAATGAATAAATGAATACTTTCAGAACTTAATGAGAACCTCCCAGATGCTGAACTCATCACTAAAAATGACCAAAACATCTTTTCGTTCGAAATATGAACTTGAACACTGTTGGATACTGTAGATAAATTATGATAAATCTTCAAAATTTCAGGTTTTAATCATTACGAATAATTACCCATTTTCCAAAGAAATAGGGTTGGTCCAAAGATTATATGGACCTTACTTCGGCATGATTATTTTCTGTGGGACTTTCGACGTGAAAAATATCAACCCTCCAGGTTTTTTTCGTTTGAAAATGACGTATTTTGAAATACCAAGAAAAAATAAGCTAGGCTAACTCGATTTTTTTAGATGAATACCTTGAGCAATTCGATCGCATCAATTTTATCAATCTCAGCGAAGACGAGGTTCACGAAGGATATTTCATCTACATCTGCGCTCAGAAAGTCAGGGAACTTCAGCTGCAAAATGTTCAAGGTGAATAAACGAATGACGAGAAAAACTCAAAATGAGAAAGTACATAAGAAGCAAAAAAATATTTCATGAAAAATTCGCAACCCTTTTTTGAAAAACCGAACAAACGTGTCGAAAAGTGGCTCAAAGGTGACAAGAGCTAGTTTTCCTTCTCCGAAGAATCACAACAACTAATTATTGTTACCTAATATCAAACGAAAACTGCGAATTCTAAATGAAAAAAAAAATAAAATAAAAAAATTGAAAACGCGGAGACAGAGATCACTGTGCAAACACGCAAAGTGCATGCGCCTACTGTGGACTTCACATACCGTATACTCCGGGAAAGAAAAACTCATTATTTTCATAGCAAAGGCTAAAAAGTCAAAAAAGGGGCTTTAATTCTTCAAAAAAGTTGGAAAGCATCTTGGAAAAAACTGTGTGAACCTAGAAAAAAACATTATTGTCATGGTATGTAATAAGGAGAGTTTAAAACTCAAATTTTCCAATGACCTCATGGTAAAGCCTTTTTTCAGGTTATTACATGATGTCCGACGACGTACAATTCAATCATTGGCAAAGAACCAATTATGAAAGTGTAGTCCACACGGTCGGCACTATGGCTCCGATTCCAGGCAGCAATTGGTGGTCCATCTTTTTGAGGAACATTTGTGATTATTTATATCATTTTTGTAATCAAAGCCGTTAATTAGGTTGCCTGCCAAGTTTTTCCTATTTTTTCAGAGTTGATTTACGAAAAATCCATTTTTCACAAACATCGGCTCTCACTGTCGCGCCACTATTGCAATAAGCCGCGCCTCCCTCGCATGCAGCCACGCCCAAAGACAGCGTCTGCCACCTGTTTGATGCCGTGTTCAAAGTGATTCCGCGAAATTAAAAATAGTCGTCAGAGAAAGAGAAAGATAACTAAATTTTGGAGGGTCAGAGAACATTTTGCATTTCGCGGAAATTACTTTGAACACGGCATGAGAACACTGTTTTACGTCAATTCAATATTAGGAAAATTAATTTTTCAGAAAAGCCCATAAAAAATGAAAGCTTGCATAGATTTTAGAGCAATTTTGAACTTTAAGCTTACAAAGCGATGGAGAGGATCGTGAAGTTTATGACTACGACAGGTGATCCTGAGGTTATTGAAACTTGGAGAAAGTTTGATCGAGGGGTGAGTTTGAGCTCTTTCTTGAAACATTTTCAACGAGATTTTCTCGATAAACTTTCTTTTTATTCCAATATTTCACGTTCCCTCTATTCAAAATAAGTTAAAATCCTGATATTAAATGATTTTCTAATTCTATTGAAAGCCTGTTTGAAGAAAGAAAAAAATTTTTGTGACTCGAAATCCCCTATCCGAAAAATTCAGGTTAAACGGAGAGGATATCAAGATGCGAGACAGGTGTTTGTACGCTAGGGATTCCTGGACGGCTAGCGATTTGTAATTCAAATAATTTCTTTTTTTTTGTTTGGTATTTTCCAGCATTTACATTCCCAATACCATGCTGGACTATTTCGGGGACCTGATGGAGATTTTTTTCGAGCAAACTTTGTTTTTGGAAATCGCCATTGAGAAGTTCCTTCGATCTGTGGACTATAAAATGTGTGTTTTTACTACCTCATGGTCGCACTAGCAATCGCTGATGGTAACGAGGTGCATCCGACTTCGAGGCGACTTGCGCGCGTCAGTATGATAAAATACATGAAATAGTCTTGCAGGTAGAGAATAATGGAGTTACCCAAGATCTTATTATGAAATTGAAGAAACAACGGGTTATCGACGAAACTTTCAATTTTCCTTGAAACCGCAGACTCTCGAGCCATTCTTAAATGCGACCTTTCGAGCCGTATATTTTTTCCAAGATCTCGATTTTTCCAGTCCCGCGATAACTGAAGACAGCTATTTGTGGGGAAATGATCGGAACGAGTGGCCAAAGTACTACAATTCCTCTCTTCTGATCCTTCACCCATTGAAATACGGAGCTTCTCGGTTCAACTTGACCGAAAGATACAGGTTTTTTTTTCTCTTGAAGTTGAAGAATGGCTATATTCAATAGTATAACTTTTGCGTGGCGTTGAAAAAATTTTTATTGCACCAAAAAGGTTCAAAAAAACTTGACAGGGGATGAAAGAGTTACTTCAAAGGCTTGAATATACCTTTGTCATAAGCAAAGTCGGAAGGAACTTTTACGGGCTCTTTGAGGGTCTGTTATGGGTGCAAAAAGGTTTCTGCTAATTGTTCCTAAATAGGTGGCAATGATTTCCTTTTCACGGCCTTTTTCCGTCCTTTCATCGGCCTCTATCCAAACCCTTTTTTTTTGGACCCATTTGAGAAAAATTTTTTAGTTGAGAATAATCTTTACCAGTGACTGTGTATGAACCAAAAATGTGCTACAGTAATAAAATCGGAAAAAATTAATAAGGCTTTTTAGCCCACCAAGAAAGAAAAGGCTCAATAAAGTCCAAAAAAGGGAGCCCTTTTAGCAGCTGTTTTGCACCCGTTTTCCGCTCTTTCGACTTTGGCAGTGTCTTTTTTTTTTCATCTGTTTTTTGGCAAAATTTAATTAACTTCTTGTTTTAACATAATTTTATCTCTTTCAAAAAGATTCCTATAGAATAAAGCCATAAAAAGGCAGTGCAAATATTCTCTTATCGGAAATTTGATTTTTATAGCTCTTTTTGAGCTGCCCATGTAGCCTTTCGAGGCCAGAAAAGTTAAAAAAAGTAGCTTTTTAGTAAGTCATTACTCAATTAATGTTGTTTCCAGGTACTGCAAACACGTGCTACAGTTGTCCGTCGACATATTCTTAAAAGGAAAAAAATGAATAGTTCTACGAAGTGAAAGATCATCAAGAATTTTCAGCCATCTCGGGATATTTTTCTAGTCTTCCATGTTATTTTCCTACTTTGTGATAAAGTTCCTTTCAATGTTTAATCGAATTTAATAAATGGCAGAAAAGTTTATTCACAGAAACTTTGCAACCCTAGTCAGACTCAAAGCTTGCTCTCTCGCCACGACGGCCGCGTAATTCTTCAACTTCTCTTCAACTTCTTGAGCCTCAATAATCAGTTTTTCGTCGTAGTTCCATGTCGAGTTTCTGAATATGTTAATTATTGCCTCGCAAAGAGAGGTGATTTACCTTGGCGAACATCTCAAAGTATTGATTTTGCCTAGAAGAGGATTGTACCACTTGTACCGGTGGAGGCGGTGAATACTGGAAAATACATGAATTCCAAATTTGGAGCTTGACTTTGTAACCATTTTACAATAAAAACGACTAGTGATATTATTGTCAGGGTATTTTTGAAAATTCTTCATTTTTTAGAATTTTTTGAAATGTTCCAGGTTCGAAATCTTCCTCACTATTGCTTGAAAAAGGTCTTCTTGAAGTTCACAAAAAGAAAGGTTTTGGAGGGGTCCCTATAGTGTGTTGTTGTTTTAGGGACAGGGAGCAATTTTACAGTCCCTATAGAGGTCAAAGTTTAGTGGCCACTATAGTTCTTTTTGAAGATCTACTACTCGGCAGATACCTCGGCCCGGTGCAACCCCCAGATTTGCTCTCTTTTTCCCATCTTTTGCACTTTGCAAGTGGTAGTGACAAACCGTAACATTTTCGAGTCTTTTTCGTGCGAAAGGAGAGGCTGCACAGTGCTGACCACGAAATTCAACTTGCATAGGAACAAAAATAATTATTATCAACGGGGCTTAACCTATTCCCATTGGGCGCAAATAAGGTGCGGAAAGTAAGCTATTACGATAGAAGGAGTTTCTATTTAATTTCAAAAGATCTAATAAATAAAACTTTAGAATTGAATTTGAGAAAATTACAGATTTTAGATTCGCTTTTTTCGCTCGCTTTCTCCCCTGAAATTGCACTGAATTGACTCGGAATTTTGAAAACTCCACTCTCGAGGTCATTGCGCAAAAAACTGACTCCGCGCTCGGTTGTGCCCCAGAATGTGCGAGAAAAAGCACCGAAAGTTTAAAGGCCGCATCCCAGATAGGGTCTGCCCGGAGCATAATTCCTGCCGAGTAAAACCCCGAAACTTTAGGGCTCCGTATAGGAAGAGCGTAAGGGTCCCTATTACACTCCCTATAAAGATCACTTCAAAGTTTCTCAGAACAGCTCAGAAAAATCGTTCAAAACTCACTCAACAAAACGCCTAGGTTTTGGATACTTTTCGGTTTCTTTCCAGTTATGCAGCATGAAATCGTGTTCCTTGCTCCATAAACTATTGGTCAACCAATTGTCCCGAGCCCAGCCAGTTCCCTTTAAATGTGGCATTTTATATTAAATATGGGATTGGGGAACCTTCTCCAGAATGGCGATTTTACGAAACTTCCTCCGAGATCCAAAAATCGATCTGATGCAAGCCTCGAAAGTGAACAGGTCCTCATAATTCCTCGACTTTTTATAAACTTTTGAGCAGGTCTTGATGGCGTTTCTTTGCCTTGGGAAACAGGATTTCCGCCAAATATAACTGAAAAAAAAAAATATGTTTGATTTCCAGCTGTTTGATTTCCAACGTGAAGCGCTCCGTTATCCGTGCCGTGGAAACTTCTCGGCACTCTCTGTTCGAAATCAGCCCAACCTCAAAATAGGATTTTCAGAAAAAAAGCGAAAAAACTAACCTGCCAGAAATTGTGCGGCATATTTGGTGTTCCTAGCCAAATAAGACCCGGCCATGACCTCCCAATTATAAAATCGATCATAGAAAATGATATCATAGTTTGGGTCAATATAATCTTCGATTCTTCTGCAACCGAAAATGAAGATTGAACACAGTTGGAAATTACTTCTGTGGATTCACCACGCCGATATCCGCGTCAACAAAAAGAACATAGTCAAAATGAGGCAGGATCTTCGAAACAACGCAATGACGACGGAAATAGCCCTGAATACAACTTTAAGACCATCAAAATTAATATCAGAGCATATGGAAAGTATTTTTCCTGGGAAAACGTGGAGCTTGTTCTGAGAAAGGCACTCACATCTTCATTATTATTGCACTCAAAATCCGAATCCAGAGCTAAAATATAGTGATAGCCTTGAATTTTGGCGTAGCACTGCATTGTACCTAAAATTCTCATTTTTAAGTATTTTCGAATATTTCAAACTTATCGCGGTCTCGTAAAGAGCTATGTCGTCAAGATCCTCCACGACAGAGACAATCGCAATTCGAATATTATCATCATTTGTGAAAAATATTGTATTTTCGGGCCCATAGATGTAACCAAGCTGCAAATTTTGGCTCTAACAAGGGAGGAGGGGTCAATTTGATATTTTCGTTGGTATTTTCCTGAATTTTGGCTGGAGCACTCCTTGATGTACCGGTAAGAGATCCTGAAAGCCTCAATATATTCTACTTTTCGAGAGCAGACGCCGCAAGTTCAAAGAAAACGCTCAAAAGCCATTTCGGGGCTTCAGACCCTATTTCTGGAAAACTATTAAGTTGTGCAGGTCGAGACTTTCAGAACCTTCTTCTGACATATCGAGGAGTGTTCTGGCCAATTTTCAAAAAATTCCTAACCAAAAAGTAAATTTATCGTCTCTGTAAATGAAAATCACAATTAAAAGCGTTTCTTAAGACTATAGAGTCTACTGAAAATTCTGTTCGTGAAGCTACAAAAGTCAAACTTTCAATCTATTGAAAAACCGGAAGCCAAACAAAAAAGAAACTTACTATTCTTCCAGGGTTCGCTGTTCTCAACAATCGGACACCCTGCCACGCCTAAATGGGGTTCAAATTTATTTTTCACTTGATTTTTCAAAATTTGGAACGTGAAAAGCCAAAGAAAAGGCTGACGCTACGTTTGTCCGTAAAAAAAAATTTATTGGATACTCATCAACCTATTCTATATGATGCTGACGCTCTCAAGTAGTTTTTGGTCGGATGCGCCTTGAAGGATCGGGTCTTTGAAGGGAATTTAATCGTTGACCTTGTGAAAATTTAAACTGGAGCCTTTCTGGTTCAATTCCACCCGGTCCCGGTCAAAAATCATTGAACAAACTAGAATTTCGAAAAAATAATAATAAACGTTACCTCCAAAATAATACAGACAACCGCTGTTAGAAAAAACATGAGAAAACAAAAGAACAGAAACTTGGACAAGCGTCTAGGGAACACATGGGCAGTCTTTATTGAATAGAAGTCCATTTTTGGTTCGAAAAGTAGTTTCGGGAGATATATAAATGGTGTCAGAGTTGAAAAAAAAAAAAGAAAATGAGTTGTTTAAGATGGCGCAGTAGATATATTTCGAGGATCAACCAGAAAAATCTCGAAGCTTTAATTTTTTTGATTTTTATTCTTCTCGGGAAAGACCTTTCCTTTGAAGTGTGGATGAAAGACGGGACGCCGATCCAAACTTTTTTTCAGTCTTGATTTTGTCCCTCTTATTGACCGACGAGTATCTGATTCGCAACCGCACCCAAGAAAATTTCAAAAATCGTTCCTTCCAGTTTCTCTTGACCTCCCAAAAACAGGGACTAAAAAAATCCGCATTTTTTTGTTTCAATCATTATTTAACAAAGTGATATTCATCTTCAACTTATGGAGCTCCTCCATGGCCTCGAAAATCCCCTCATACATTTATTTCTAACGATGGATCTCTGAAAAAGGCGACGAGGAAGTGAAGTTTTTGCGAGGAAAAATTTCGCTTGCAGGGATTTTGCTTCCGTTGTTGTTGTCTCCTCATTAATATCATGTGGTTTTCGCAGTATTAGATCAGATTTGTAGAAATTTCCGCCATTAAATGTGTAGTCTGATCGAAAGCCCTTGCTGGGTGTGTTAAGAAAGCAGAGTTCAACTTGAGGCAGTTTGAGACGAAAAGTCGTTTTTTTTAGTGATTTTTGAAAATGACTGGAAAAAGGCTTTTTAAATAAATGAAAATTATTTTTTTGTCATCTCAGGAAAAAAATTTCCGATCGACTTTTTTCGCTTTTTTCTGAATTTTTTTCCCTTTTTCAAAAGTGAGTATTTTTATAGACTAGACTAGAGCCCAGAATATTCTCAGGAGCACCAGAGTGGTCTCTTACATGGGTCAGGAAAAAAATCAGCTTCTTGGGAAACAGAAAGTGCCCCTATAAGGGAAAAATTTAGGTGGTCCCTATAGGGTCATTTTTTTGTTCAGATTTAAAATAAAAAGACAATTTTGATCCTCTGTCGATATTTTCTCATTTTTTGAGTTTGCTTTTCTCAACGAGTTTACAACAATACTGGACTAGCATCGTCCCCTAAAGGGGCCACTTCTGCAAGCGTTGATGACCTTATAGGAGTAGGTAAGGTAGACCCTAAAGAGTAAACTTCAAGGGTCCCTATAGAGACCACTCTAGAGTTTCCAACTTAATCAGCCTTCATAACTTTTTAAAATTTTTCGCGTGGAAATGCTTCTTCTCAACGAGTTCACAACCATAATTGACGAGCATTTTCCCTCTAGGGGCCACTTTTGCAAGCTTTAGTGGTCTTTTTAGGGAGGGGTAAAGGTATTCCCTAGATTAGAATCTTCAAGGGTCCCTATAGAGACCACTATGGAGTTTCCTAGTTTATCACCCTTCCCTGCAAATCGTTCAAAGTTTTGCACCCCCGCAAAAGGGCAAGAAACTATGATCATCAACCGGTGGAAAAGAGATAGAAATTGAGTCGATGTTTCGTCGTTTCGGGTACATTCGGCAGTCGAATGTCGCAATGTTTTTCAGTGATTATTTGTGTTGTTGTCTCTTTTTTATCTGTTTGGTCGGACGTCGAGGTGATCAGAAAAGACAAAGACGTCGTTTTGGTGTCAGCCTCGATCAACGAAACAGAAACACGTTTTGAAGAACGAATCTCTTTGAAAGGAAAATTAGAAGGCAATAAAAATCGAGGCGCTTGGTTTATTATAAGACGCAAATAAATTCCGATTCCGTTTTTTTGAACCAATTTATCGTTTTACCTTGATCTGATAATTTTTAAAAGCCTCTTAAAAAATCGCTTTGAAGCTGAATTCACTTCGAGGTTTGGAAACCCTCCTTTCACAGTAGAATTTTTCTAAGACGTCCTTCTTTTTGGAAATTGCTCTGATTCGTCCGTTTTTTTCGAGAAGAGAGCAGTTATTGGAGTGTAGTCTGATTTTAAAAAATTCGTTTTAGGCAGTTTAAAGGAGCATAGGCAAGTTTTTTTGATGGTTTTCAACCGAAAAGCCGTTTCAAAGTTTATTCAGATTTTTCAAGAGTTCTGCGCCTTTAATTCTCTGGCATACTTGGGTTTTTGTGCAGTTTAAAGGACCCCCGTAGGGACCACAATACCTACCCCTATAGGGGGCCACTAAAGCTTATGAAAGTGCTCCATATAGCTCGCATGCTGATCAGGTGTCTCAACGGGTGTACCCGTATTAAACCCGTGTTTCTGAGGTTGTTTTAGTCTCAGTTGGGCTAAAACGGGGAACAACGGGTGTAAGAAAGATATGTAACCCAGCTGTGCTAAAGCGGGGTCTCAGTTGGGCTAAAAACTGCCAAAAGTTCTATCAGCGGGGCTTTTACGGGTTTAATACGGGGGCACCCGCTGAACCCGTATAAGCACGGCGGGGTTACCCTGCTCAGCATGCGAGTAGGGGTTAACTAAATAAATAAGCGTTTTTTTCGAATGAAATTAGGCGACCTCTAAAGGGATTGTTCTTCCCTCTAACCCTATTGAAACAAAATCTGAAATTCCTAAATAGATTTTGAAGAGGCTCGTCCGTTTTCTCAAATTTTGTCGTGGTGATTAAATTATTTGATGAATTTAGTTACCAATTTGTAAATTTTGACTTTCAAAGCTGGATAAACTTTTTCCCTCACATCCTTTTTTGCATCCTTCGAAAGCGTGAGAAAAAACTAGAGAGCTTCTCCGAATTAAAAGAAATTTTTTCAGTAGGTTTTTGAGAAAAAAGCGCGTAAGATTTTTTATTTTGATTAAACAAGCCATTTTTTAAGGCTTTTTCGAGTTTGTAGCCTTCATGCTTTTGCTTCTTTTTCAAACTTTTCCCAATCGTTGAACCGATTATTTTCGTTTAATTTTCCACCTTCATTGGAGCGCCGTTGAACTGAGTGGAAAATCACTCTTTTTTCAAAATTAAACAAAATCTCACTTGAGAGTGTATCCTTGCTTTTTCAATCCTCTTCAATAGAAAAAAATGTATATCGAAAGATGATAAAATAAAGATAATTTTTTTAATATGGCTTTCTTTCAGTTTTTTTGTAACCGTACTTTTTTTCTCTGCAAACTGATCTGTCAACCTCAAAAAATTGCACTGAAGCACGCGACGACGTGTGACTTGCACCGGGTACAAAATTTCGAAAAAAAACGGTTCTTTCTTTTTTTATTGTTGTTTTTTTCTGGATTGCAGAGCGAGATGAAAAAAACATGTTTTTCCAATGATTAAGGTGATTTAAATTCGAAGTTTTTTTGAAAAAAAATATTTTTTTCCGTTTTTGATGTATTGATGCAGATAGGGGGATTTGTTGGATTTGGTTGTAAATATTTTTTTGTTTGATTTTTTTCGAATGTTAGATTTCTAGTTAAATTTATTTTTCAAGGTTCATTTTCAAAACCTTTTCGACTTTTTTTGAATACATGTTAAATTTTGCCTCTTTTTTTATCGACAAATTTTTCAAATTTTTCCTATTTTTCGCTTTTTACAAAAAAATCATTGAATCGTCATTTTCCCTAGATTGTTCTTTTCAATCCCGTCCGATTCTCAGAATTCTATAATAAACTAAAACGAAGATCAGAAGCAATGGTTGCATTATGATTATCAGCTGAATAGTCAAAGAACGACTCAAAGTAGATCTAATATATAATCCCACGGCACGAGAAAAAAAAAAAGAAAGTTTCCCAGAAACTTTGAAAAAGTGCATTATTGCGCATTAATCTGATGAGGGAAACGGCGTGACTTTGAAAACATCCGGGTTCAATGGGAAAAATGTAAGAAAGAAGAAATGTTGAAGACTCTGGAAACGTCACTAGACTTTTTAATTTTTAGTGAGAGGAGGGAAGAAGCTGGACTATTCATTTGATTAATTTTTGGAAGACTCAAACTTTTTTTGTTTCAATAGAAAT